TGAAGTCGGTTGCTCAGTGAGACACGTTGAGCCACATTCATTGGCCTTTTACTTGCCATTGTTCTGATGTTTAATAAAAACAAAATTTTCTTAGAAATATATAGTTAATAGAACGGCCATTTTAAGACATTTTAGAGAAATAGTTAATGAGTTACTACCACGTACCTACTTAAAAAAGTTTATATTTTTCGTAATTTTAAATAGCAAGGTTGCAGTGGTTGGTATTTATTACGCAAGGCGCTCACGTGAAGTGTTAGTGGTATTAATGTGTATATAGCTATATTATAGGTATCAACGGAATTTCTATCGGGCATTGGGTAACCGTTGGAAAGAGTTTCGTTACGTAGACGTTCGATACAGCCTCGCGTAGTAAGGCCGTGGTTGCAGTCACGTCGTCGGTGAGAGGCGCCCCTCCGACGTCGGAAGGTCGCGAGCAGATATCGCGAGGAGAACGGCACAGGAATGAATCCTTTAAAGTTGAGAATGCCAAAACTTACCATATCACTTGAAACTTGTATGACTGCTGTCATTACTTTGACTATGTTTATTACTTTCCTTCTCACAGTGGAGTAGGTATTATTCACATTATAAAATTACGTTTTGATTTATTGCATAATACTTATTTTCTTAAAGATTGATGCTTTTCATCAGCTATTATCATGAAAATGATAATATATTTATATGTTTGAGTGGACTGCGCATGCGTTAGTAATCTAATCAGCACGAACAAAACCAATTATAATTGAAATAGTTCATTCACCGCAAAATTCTGTTGTTAATTTAGTTTTTGCTGATTATATTGATGTTTTATAATTTCTATCGAACTATTGTCTTTTATTTTACTTATAAAACATAAGATCTTACTATCTGTCTGTTTATGCGCTTTTAACACGAAACTCACTTGTCCGATTTACATGATTCCATGATGAAATTAAATATCACCGCTGATATACAATTTTTTGTATACAATAATTGGTAATTGATAAGTAGTAGGTAATTGGCAATAACAACTTTAGTTTGTTTCGGAAAAATCATGATATGGGGCGCTATGCGTATCGGTAATTTTAGTAGATCTATCGCAAAACGTAAAATAGAGGCCGCATCGCTAGAATAAAATCGAAATGTGCATAAATGCAATCGAGTCTCGTGTAAAGTCCACAGAAGAATTCTGCAAGAATGGTTTATGACGGCTTTAAGCGCGTGTTGAATATTATATTTTTCACTTATGTTGAACATATATATAATTAAACGAATTGATGTTACCTCACCACCGCCAACGATTGCGACAAGACGACCGTATCGTCCATTAGAAAGTCGAATATGCAAATAGTATTGTAGAAACTACACGAATAACTGGCCACTCACTCGCCTTTAAATGTGTCTGTGATGAAAGTAACTAACTACTACCGTTAGTAATTGTTAAAATTTCTTTCGTGGATTTTGTTTACCGATTTGGTTAATTTAAATCATCAACTAAAGTAGATTTATGTTTTTATCTGACTTGCAAACTTCGCAGTTCTTATTGTATCTTTCGAAACGCGAGGATTTGTTCTAACAAAACATGTTTATCAAAGCGTCACAGTTTATTTATAAGTAGGTACTTTATTTGATATTTCTCGTAATTGTTCCTGCTAACAAAACTAACTGGGTCGATTATATATTTTTATATTTTGTTTCCGCTTCAAAAAATTAAGATGGCATGTAGTTACGACATGAATACGAAATGTTTTTATACAAAAGTCAATTTAAGACACAATATAAGTATTGTTCCAAACGTGAAAAATGGCCGTAATTTATTTTATCGCGATGACAACGTCTAAGTAAATTCTATCATTAAAATACTCGTCGGCAATTTACAATATTTAGTTTATTATATATAATTAACAAAAATTGAATGTATATTTCAATTTTATATATAACTCTTTTATATGTGTATATCTTACTTATTTGAAGGTATTGTGATAAAGAACATTCGATATGTTTATAATACTTCTTGTCAACGAACGGCTTATGTACATATAGAAAATAAGATAATAACAAGTCGGTAAGCAATTAACGTTGGGGCCGATCACAGCCCAGCTGCGTGGATTTCCCGCTACGATGAGTGTTGAGAACTATTTATTATCGTTCAGTGCTGACGTGCGCTCGTATCGAAACTAAGTATAATATAATCTATACGTTTACACCTAAAGTTGAATTTGTATTGAACGACCCATTCCACCTCCACAACGTTACGTCAATAAGATACAATACGTTAACTAGTTCGACTGGGGCGTACGACTGACTCTTTCGCGTCCGGGTTTGTCGCCTAGAATTTATAATAACAAATTTCTCGAATCTTTGAAACGGAACCAATTTACTGATACTCGTCTACCTGTTGATACCTAGTCTACAACAATTTTGAAACACGATACAACTTGTAAATTTTCTTTATTCAGCATTTATAGTTCTTGCTCGAGCGTATTGAACCGGTTCGGTTGGCCTCTCACTTTGCAACTTCATGTACCGCTTGCTGAGAAATTAGGTAAGCAACAAAAGCCTTGGTCGCTGCGCACAACGGACAGAATGCATTAAAGGAATCTTTATAATTAACAATATTAATTGCAACGTATAGGACCAAAATTATGTATTTGAAACTAGTAACGAAGGCATTCGCAGTCTAGCTAGGCAAGAATCAAAAAAATAATCATTAAAACAACATTCTAGTAATGCCTTGAAAACGAATTTCCTCGTATTTTCCGGTCCAACCGAGGCGTAGACTCGAACGACCTTCGATAAAAGACAAACAATGAAACTAAACAACCTTGACATGGTACAATCTGCAGCTGATGCATTGCACCCATTACCTACAAACGGATATCTAATCATATTATTACATTGATATATTCTCCCTAAAATTACTAGTACAAAAACAAAGAAATTCAAACAATGGCTGGAGTGCGCGAACGTACAAATGTAGCGGGCGAGACGGCTGTTCACCGAATGCCGAAGTATTCCATCGCAACGCGCTCTTTATATCAGCCGAAGTTGCTACCGCAGAGAAAGCCGCGCCCCGCGCTCCCCCGCTGTGCCTTCGCACTCGTCTCGTAGTGGGTTTTTTCCTCATCGGCTCTATAATCGTATACACTGCACAGTATGTCTCACCTTGGGTTCATCAGTCGCGACATGCTTTCTGAACTTCTAATAAATATCACTGATCCGTACTCAATGTATGTACTTGCCATAATTTTTTCATACAGATCCACAGGGAGTTACAATAATATCTCTTGTATACTTAAAAAGTCTTTTATTTTCCTATTTTTGTGAGCATTATTTATAAGAAAACATCTTAGAATTATATTGTATTAGTAGATTTTCTGGTTATTGCTTTACGACTCCGCATCACGACGCACTCTTTAATGGGTTAATCGCCTGGCATTGTGGTACTACAGACGTCAACCGCGGTCTGCGACCTTAGAAAATCTTACATACATGCTACATATCACCTTATCAGGCGTCTTAAAGTATGTACATTTAACTCAAATGATGAACTGCATGATCATAACTTTTAAAATGTTTAGTGTTTACTTTTTAGAGATACCTATCTCTAGTAATTTGAGTTGTTTTTACTTGAAATATGATACTCCTATTAGAAGACTGCCAATCAAAGTAGTTTTTACTAAAGGCAACATCTACGTACGGTTAAATTATAATTGCATATTACGTTCTCGAGCAAATTCATTAAATATCGCGTGCAAAGAGCGTACTTGGTGGCGAAACGGTACGTTGCGCTGAGTGGTTGGTTGCTTGTATGTTTGCGGAGCCGCGACGTTGCCATTCCAGGCGATGAAAGTCGTTACTCACTGCTAGTCCCCGTGGCATGTTACGTCCATATTTTCTTATTTACAACTGCTTTTGTTTACAAATTGAACATTTGGAAAATTTAAACAAATAGGATCTGTCAATGGCCGTATAATCGGCAACACTTATACTGTCACGATTTCAGCTTGTAACTGATTCAGATTATATTCATAGCAATAGTTGCCAAATTGCCAAGCGCGACAAGCATGTACATTCCACTAATAAAACTATGTAATAGCAATATTTTTACCTAGCGTATTATGTTACAACGTATTCAATAAATTGTTCCAAGAGCTCTTACGAGGTAGTTATCTATGTTATTATTGTACAATGTTATTTGCATAGTAAGAAATGTATATTCAAGTAAATGTTATATTTAAACGTAAGTTACGCATGACTTTCGTTTACTGATTCTTATTTATGTAGTCTAGCAAAATTATATATTTTACTAGCGACTCACTCTCGCTTTGCTCGGGTTCTTTGTTAGGTCCGTTTTAGCGGTTAGTGATTCCCATACAAAATAAACATCTCAAAACTTTTCGAATTTCCAGCAGTTTTTTTGGATTTTCTCTATGTTTTTTATTTTTAAATCACCCCTGACACACCCCTAACAAAACAAAAAAAAAGGATTATTCAAATCGGTCCAGCCGTTTTTGAGTTTTAGCGAGACTAACGAACAGCAATTTAGCATAATTAATCTCTACATTCTTTTCGAATACTTTATTTTTATAATTTTATTCTTTTGATTAACGCATGAGCTAAAACCTAAAAGTAGCGAACTGTATTTGTGCCAAGCATTTTAATCGAATACGACTAATTCCTTTAGAACTACTCAGTTGGTACACATGTGTACTAGAAATTGAGCACATACATTGATATATGTACGTAATAGTTTTATCTTAGGTATTTCATTACAAAAGGTGTAGAACTGTCATTGAAATGTAGCAGTAAAGATAGCATCTCAATGTTAGTTAAGCACTGATAATAATTTTAATCAGTATACTATATGATTTTACAAAACTTGTCTCTTACCTTTAGCTTGAGCTTTATATGTATGATTGTATCTTAAATATTCATATATAATTACGTTTTTAATATTACTTTCTTTAGATTCTTGCCTTTAAAGCTTTTGATGATAACTCTTTATTATTTTTTTACAGAAAATCTCTATACCAGCTCCAAGCAGTGGCAATGGGTCGTCGGGCGAGTCCACATTTAAATTCAGTATCAATAGCAATGCAGAAATGGAGGGTCCACAGGTATATATGTGAATAATAAATAATAAATATAATTATAAATATGTATGTATAAAATAATTTTATTGTCTTTTGAGTTATACAAAGCAAATTTATCTTCATCTTCAGTTTGTTTTGTTATTTATTTAAAATTAATCACTTTAAGGTACTACAGCAATTAACTAATTAAAATTAAAGATGTAGTGGACCTACCTGAATATTATTTATTTGTATTTCAAAAGAGACCACATAATGGCTTACTTCACTGTAAAGTTTATAACGTGAAGTATGATCAATATTCTGTGCGTCTTACTGCATATGTAAGCAAATTGAATAAAATTTTACTTAACTTTCTAGCATGCGTCATATCGAGAAAAAACACGCCTTATTTTCGTTTCCGGCGTCCAAAGAACCATACAGTAAATAAAGTGTTAATGTGATCAAGTATGAAAAAAAATTAAGAAATATTCATTTTTAATCATGAAAAGCACAAACAGGTCTATCCCACGGAAACCGTTCATTTTTCTAGGATAAAAAGTACCTAACTTGTTGTTTGACCGGTAATATAAGGTATCAGCATGCCAAATTCTACTAAATTAGGTGCATAAGTTGTTGTGTACTAAGCTGTATAAGTTACTATAGTTTTTTAATGGTCCCACGAACTCTTTAATTTTCCGGGATGAAAAGTATCTAAAATTTTGACCGGGTATATAAGATAGCATCATGCAAAATTTCTTTTAAATCGGTCCAACAGTTTTGGAGATTAGCACGTACAAACAGACAGAGAAACAAAAAAAATAGAAAAATTTCTTCTTACATCCATCCTCCTGACTGTTTTTAGCGTTTTTTTTTCAATGTACCAACGTTCGACCTCTACAGTTTTATTATATATGTATAGATAATAAAAGTGCGCTTTTCATATTACTTGTTATTGCGTAAAATGACAAAGCATAATATTTTTTGTTTGTAGATGAATAAAATTCAACAACATTTAAGCTTAGCGAAAAATGTAATAGACATCTCAACTGTCAGTGACGTGATGTAAAAAACGCCTTCGTATAATGAAAATATACATTTTATCCAGAAAAAGATAATGCAGACCCCATACAATTTGCTGGGGGGGCTTACTTTCGCGAAATGTTACAAACCATAGAATTCAACACCGATAAAGTGTGCTCGTTTCAATTTGTAGGTCGTTGAGCGGTAGCTGCCATAAAACTTGTGACTGACAAATTCATTAGAGTAACTTAAAGTGTGGCACAAGTGTGTGGCCTGAATATTTTTTACAAACCAGCTTACCACGATTGACTTTGACTTAAAAATTTATGTACGAGTACCTAGTGATTAGCTTCTGGTCGGTGATAAGTGATGATAATCATTCGAAATATATGTAGTACCTGTATTCATTTAAGGAAATAAATCTTGTATAGTCGTATAGCTATATTAAAGGTTAAGAATGTGATCTTGATAAGGCTTGTCACAAGGTTAGAACGCGGATTAAATAATTAGTACTGGAACTATATTTTTGGAAACAAGTTTTTCATTAATATTTTACACGTGAGATGCAATTAACGCCGATGTTCTTTGACATATAGAATGTATTATTTAATATACAAAGATGTTTTTTTTTTTTTAAATCTGCTAATTTTTAAGCACCTACCTAATTTGGCAAACGCGATTTTTTTGTATTAATGTTAAAATAATGTTACTTTACTACCTAAATAAGTTAGATACCGTCTCTGATTTAGGGGTTTATTTTGCAGGGTTCGTTTGAATGCGTCCGAAGTGGGGGCGTGAGGCGTCTGGAGTCATGCGGGCCGTTGCCGCGAAGGATGCGTGTCCAGGCGAACGATGACTCGTATGAGGCGACCAAGGACCGAATGTCCAGGACAATTGCCGCGGAACAGAGCAAATGGTATTTTATATATATATTTATTCTAAAACGGCAACTATTATGGTACTGAATAAAATTAATTTCTTTATATTACGTTAAGTGGCTAGGTAATTTTGCTAAAAATATTAGTATTATTATGTAATGGTACTGAATAAAATTAATATCTTTATATTACGTTAAGTGGCTAGGTAATTTTGCTAAAAATATTAGTATTAGTATGTAATAGCGACTCAATCGAGATTTGTTATTTCTAGCACCCGTGTCATAAAACCCAACCAAACGGATATTGGGCGACGAGTGAAAGTCCGCTCAACACATCCCATGTACACGAATGGGTCGAGTTTGGCCGATAGGTCTGATCGACCCGAGAGGCCGGAAAGACCAGAGAGGCCCGAACGGCCAGAGAGGTCAGAACGGCCCGAAAGGCCCGAACGGCCCGAGAGACCCGAAAGACCTGAGAGGTCAGAAAGGCCTGACAGGATGGAGCGTATTGAGAGGCCGCCGGTTGTACCAGCGAGCCGTCAACCCCTCTCCGTGCAACCTCAAGTGCAACCGCCGCCGCAACACTCGCAACCCAACCCGCAACCACACCCCCATCAGCAACGGCCACCCCCCAATCCAGACCTCACGAGGCGACCTATAAAGTAAGTCCTCACAATGATAGAGATATAGGTAGGTACTAATCATATATTTACTACAACAATTACAATGAAAGTAAATCTACGCTTACAAATAAGCAAAATAAATGATTACTTTTTATCAAAGAGAATAATCTTGAGAATATTACTGCGGGCAAATAGAAAACATAGTTTTATATAATAATATTTGCTAAGTTGGTAGTACTGTACATGAAATTAAACTTGTTGGAATAATTATGCCCTTTTATAACTTAAAACTTTTTGTAACAATTGCAAACTGGCTGCATGTTGCACATTTTATTAGTCATCATAATTTGATTTAAAACAAAGTTATACTTGTGGAAAAATAATGCACCCGGGGTTTTCCCATTTTTTTAATTATTTGGGTTTAAGTGTTTTATTAGAATATTATCATTAATTCTCATTAAAGATTAAGATTATGATTTTAAACAGGAAATTGTAATTCAATTTGATAAGATATCGTGGTATATTATTCATCTAAAATAATACGTTAGTACGTATAAGAGTTGCATAATTTAATTTAATTCAAAAATTGTTCGTGTGCGGTAAACAGTTATTTATGAACAGTTGTTACTATTCGTAAAAATATCATATTTCCACTTATCAAGTCGTTTCAGCTTTTATAAACATCTGATTCGATAAATTAACGTGCCACATCATAATAGGTTGATAAGCTACTGTAAATACACCGAATTGACTCGAAATTAAAAATGCCTTGTTTATTTATTTATTATTTATTAATCCTTTATTACACCAAAAATAAAAATACAATATACAAGAATATATAACTTAACTAATATTAGTGTAAAGGCGGCCTTATCACTAAAGTGATCTCTTCCAGGCAACCTATATTATAAAGAAACTCATAGGGTGACATGGATTATGGTTGGTGCAAAAAAAAAGAACTAGTCTTTAATAAACTTACTTAAACGGCCTTGTTGTTGAAATTGGTTATTTTACAAAGAAGTCGATTGTTTTTTTTTTACTTTTTTTATATAAACAAGACGTTACTTACGCCTGTCTAAATTTGGTAGCGATAAAATTATATCGTTATCTAATTGCGATAATGTGGCGGTGTGGTTGGTATAGGAAATATTGACGGACACTTAAATTTAGTATAATTCTAATTTTTCGCGAGGCCTAATGCATAATTTTTTTTTTAAATATTTTTTTAAATAAGATATTATGTTATGAACTTATTGAAAGATATTTGGAACGACATTTAAAACTGTGTAAAATAAATTTTAATAAAATTCTTAATTTTTACTTATTTATTACCTCGCGAAAACATACGAAAGAACAAAATCAGCATATAATAAAATATATTTTTTGTAAATTATTTCGAGTGTTTGCGCCGAATTTGTCACTCATGTAAATTATTAATATTAACATGATAAAGGTAAAAATGATTAATTTTGCTAAGCACTTTCCTTCAATGATTTTGTAATATGATTCGACTTTACATGACGATTAGTGCTTGCGACGTTGACTCATTCGCATTCAAGGTTGTGTGCAAATTATAAAACTAGAAGAACTCAAGGCAATAATTTAGAATTCAACATTTCTATACTTATACAAAATATTATATTTATCCAAATATGTATAACATAAGATGTGAATTGCGATGTTGCCGTAAAACTATATTTAGTGTTTGAGTTTGAGTTTTTAGAGTCATTTCATGGTTAGTTAATTGAGAAAAAGGTTTTTTTTTCATACAGACTCGGGAGATATTTTTATTCTTGTTTTTTCTTACTAAAGAATGGATTAGGCGCAACCTTTCTACATTTTTTTCCGATTTCGATTCGCATTGGCCGAGATTTATTTATACTTCATCAAAAGTGAAACTTTAGTGACGTACAATAAATATTATGAATAACAAGTTTTTTTAGAGAATCGAATTTTTTTTTTTAACATACATGAAATACTGAAAAATATACACTATAATAAAACAAAACATATAACAAAAACTCAAACTACGTTCAATTTCACCATAAATAGAATGAATCAGCAAAAGTAACGTGTTGTTTTTTTCCTTTTTCAGAGAAAGACTTATACAATTATTAGCACTGAAACCTTTCAAGAAGCCCGAACTGTACGCGAGACTTATGAGTGGTAAGCTTATATTCCAAAGCCCGTACTTTTCAGTTCTAACTGGCCCTAACATATGTATGTATAATCTGCACGTGTAACAATGACAACACATTTGACGTGGTCAGATATCGAAATCAATTGATATTTTATTCATGCTTTTCGAAATCTATAGTGACTTATAGACTAGTTAATATGGACGTAAAAATAATAGAAGAAAATGTCTTGATCATACTTAATTATGAAACTGGTTTGCATTGTCATTGTATAGAAAATTAACAAAGCTTTTGATTAACTTATATTTTACACTTTTTTCCTTTTAATATATTATGAGGATACTAAAAAGTAAAAACCATTTAAGTCGACGTGCATTGCATTCAGATTGCACTCAGACATAATGTATGATTGTATGATTCAGACATCACACTATTACGTGAAGGCAAAACATTATATATAATTTAAAAAATATATAATAGAAATATTTGACACATGTAAAGATAGTATAAAATGAAGTCGCTTCCGCTGTCTGTTCGCATAGATCTTTAAACTAGTCAATGGATTTTAATGCAGTTTTCAGCAATAGATAGAGTGATTCAAGACGAAGATTTATATGTATAATACATGGATATTAAGTACTATAGTACAGAAATTCAATGATGTGTTTTTCATATTGACCGTTAAAACGCTCCTAGGGACGAACCTGAGCGAAGTCGCTAGTATCGAATATACATGTCCATACATATTTCTTTCAATAAAAAGATTTCGAGGCTACAAAGTTGTAAAAAAATACGCTTTCGACCAACTACTAATATATTCGACACACTACACTTGTCAAAAGCGTAATTTTTCTATATTTTTAAAATTAATAATTCTAAAATATAATTACTTAATAATAATAAAAAAATCTTTATGCCAATTTATAAAATACATATATTATATACATACATACATATAATAATAAAAATTAAACCTTAAATGTATAATTGCAGAGGGTATAAAAGAAAAAGAACGCGGTATGGTGAACAAGATCCTGCCAGAAATAGGTACTCTGAAGGACAACTGTTACCACTTGCGGCGTCACGTGTGGAACGACGTCAACGAAGACTGGCCCTTCTACTCTGAAGAGGAGAAACGTATGCTCAAGAGGTAATTGATTTGGGTTATGGTATTAGTTATTCACTCATGTGGAGTGAATCTAGGGTAAGATATATGTATAGCATGAAGAAGTGAAGTGGGTTCGAATCCCGGGTCTCGTACCTCTATTGTTTTAATGTGCGATTCATTTCCAACATGTTATCTTACGGTGAATTAAAACCTGCGTGTCTGAGAGAACCTAGCAAGTTTTCGAAAGACATGTGAAATCCGCCCGCATTTGCCCGATGCAGCGTAGTGAACTATGGCCTGATCCCCCTCGTATTGTAGAGAGCCTTTGCCCAGTTGTGGGACGTTAAAAAGGGCTGGATATGAGTGTCATTGATGTTATATAAACTGTTTTAATAAATTGCGTTTGTTACTAAATAACGCATAAACTGGTGAACTGAACGGATTTGAATGAAACTTGTCACACAAATAGATTATGTTCTCGGCTAACACACACCTCACACACTTTGAATGTATGTTTAGTTATATAATATGTCATCTTGTGTAATGTTAACGACATTTTATTTCTGACTTATTGCTAATGGTAATGAAAAAATATACATTACACGCGAGCGGAACCACAAACAGAATATTGCGTAAATAAATATAAAAAAATTACATAATGTTTTTAATTCTCAGTAAACTTAGGTTTTAATTGAATATAGAAAGTTTTTGGCAACATTCTCACATTAACGACAATGGTGTAATTTTAGCTCATAATTATTTCCAAATGTATTTTGGAAGAGATTTCGTAACGTCAATATGTTTAATTAGTCGGAAATCTTTATGTTGAAATAATTGTAGATAAATATTACGCAATTCTATAATTATTCATAATGTTTACGTGCTTTTAACATGATATGGATGTTTTATGTGAATATTAACATTTATATTAAATACATTAACACCTCCAGGTAAATTTCTAAGAAATTAATTTAAAATTCTAAAAAATCTATTGTAAACCGACACGCCGGCGTGTCCGCGGTCGTGGGGGGATTAAAGTAATGTTAGTTTATTATAATATTAATTGTTATAGACATGTAGGCTTCACTTACAGTACCTATTTTTATCGGTACTACTGAAAATAGACCTCTAATATTGTATATATAATGGTTTTTCCCCCCTTTTAACTAGTTCTACTGATTTTAAAATATTTTTAGAAAAAAAGACGTGTGGCACCCGGAGACTGCCGCGGTAAAGCTATTGTATACCATTTTTTATCAACTTATGCAATTATAATTATTTATTTATTTTATTAATGCAGTATTTTTTTTCCTTGACTTTCTTCGTTAATAAATGCATTTTGTTTATTCATATTTAAAACTCTTTGTACACAAATTATACGAGTACAGATATTCACTGTTGTACATAGATGATAAATTCCTATACACCTATATACTTTCTCACAAACAGCTGATTACGGTAGTTTTCCAATACAACCAATGTCACCTAAAGGCGGGTTGCTGAACTAAAGAGACAAGCGTGATATTTCAAAAAGTCATTAAAAGTTCTGGTATTTATGGATAGATGGAAAAACTAAAAAGTATCACCGCTGTGCCGGTCGGAGTGGGGGGTGTCAGGTTTTTTTCGTTACGGAATTTCTGGATTCGGTCCCCACGCTCAAGGTCCGCGATAGAAGCTATGCAATAGCTTAATTCACCTCAGGGGCGAAATTTATCTTGTTTATGTGAGGTTAACAAGGCTAACAAGTTTTCGAAAGACATGTAATGTCTGCCAACCCGCACTAGACCAGCGTGGTGGACTATGACCTGATTCCCTTCGTACTGAAGGGGGGCCCGTACCTAGCAGTGGGACGTTAAAAAGGGCTGAGTATAGATAGACGTAGGATTCTTCTTCTCTCTGCCCATTTCCCAATCACTCGGCGTCGGCGCAGTACATATTCTGTACTGTTTTACGACCGGCCGCCTGCCCGACGTAGGATATACTGACGATATATTTCCCCGCAGGCGGAAACCTCAAAATCTAACGCCGCCGCTGTCCAGCGACTCGGCCAACTCGCTGTCGCCGCGCGCGTCGCCCGGCGCCGGCAAGCGCGCGGCGCCCGACGACGCGGCGGGCGACGCGGCGGCGGGCGCGCGCCGGCGGGCGCCGCGCCGGCGGGCGCCGCGCCGGCGGGCAAGCGGCAGCGCATCTCGCACTACCGCCGCGCCTCGCCGCCGTCCTCCGGCTACGCCACCACCTCCTCCGGCGAGCGCCACGCCTCCGACAACGAGGACGACCGCACCACTGGTAATCGAAGGACTATTTATTACACGGACTGTTATCAAAAAATGTGCTTTTTTTTGAAAAGACTCGTATTTGATAAACTTTGGTACATTTTATGTGTGTTTAAATACAAAATTCGCCTCCGACGACGAAGACAATCGGATTACAGGTAATGGCATACTACACGGATATAAAAAATTGTGTCTTTTTTTTTCATGAAACTCATATTGATAAACTTGAAAGCTAGTCTTATGCATGTGCAAAATTTGATCCAAATCTCTCCGAGATAGAAAAAACAAGTGTTCATTCGGATTTTTTCGCGAATTTATTATGATTTTGATTCTCGACGTTTCGATTTTCGAATGCTTTACGATAATCATAGTGACGCGACTAATTAGTTTCATTTAAAATGTCAAATATTCCGGTAATCTAAGAAAGTATTACAAAAAATAAATTATATTACAAAATATAGAACTACTACAGCAGCTTATAATATTAGCTCAAACGAACACACTTAACTTTACTAATAACTAAGTATTGTTTTGCTGCAAATACGCAAATTTAATCAAGGTTTTGCTATTTTACGTCCACAGTCTACTAAACAAAACTACTTCATTATAACTGGGATTAAGCTCGCCCATTCTAGGATATAATAGTGGGACCAGTGTATGTGGAAATGCAAATACATTCTATTCCTTTCACGAAAATTTCATATAGGTATATTATGTACTATACAAAACATATTATCGTTTAAAATATTTTTTGAGTCGGTATGGTAAAGGCTTATATTACTAACCAAATTACCAAAAAAGGTTTACTTCTACCCACTGATAATTATCATTACCATATACATTATTACATAGTAAATAAAAGAGAAACTTATAACAGTCTTTAAACACATAGATACTCTATTCGACGTCATGTATATGCGGTCAATGTAAATTATGTTCTCGTGTTCTTTGTGTATGTGAAACCTAAAACTAACTAAATCCTAAGATTTCTAGTTTCGAACTTAAACAATTTTTAGTTTTTTTCTTCAAAGACATAGCGTTTTTTGTAATAAAATAAAATAATTTAGCAAAATATGGAAAATCCAGAACATTTAAACAAATAAACACTCAAACTACCTAATAGTACAAAAAACTTATAATTATCACAATTATGTAAAAAAAACACCGTTTCCCCGCGATGCGACCACATCCTTTAGTGATTAGTAGGTACCACAAAAAATGCATCCTCAATTTTAAATTATCACAATAATATAATAATATTGTTCAACACCAACAATATTTGTATGTAAACATTCGTGCTATAAACAAACACAGGGTTATATAGCAAAATCACTTTACTTCTATCAATATCTTATATGTTGTTATTATATTAGCTAGCGACTCACCCTCACTTCGCTCGGTTGCGTCCCCTAGGTACGTTTTAATTTTTATGAGCAAAATGCTAATTCTTTTTCTAAAACAAAACTAACTTAAGTTACTTCTTGTAGCATCAGCTATCTTTAAGTGAAAATCCTGTCAAAATCAATCCAGCCGTTTCAGAAATTAGCCGAAACAAACAGACAGATAAAAATAATTGTTTTTCTTATAGATACCGTATATAATTTCATATGCATTTAGTAAAAAGCTGTTATTTGTATATAAAAAAGAGATTCTTCAATTTTATTTATTTGTATAGATTAGAATATATTCGATTAGACAAGAATATTTATATTAATTTTTCTTTAGATAAATTGAACACTAATAGTTAACTTAGTTAATTCACATCAATGTTCCAAACGACATGAAACACTTGGTTTTACATTTGCAACTGTCAACGGGAGAGATCTAATATATTATTTCTGTATCAACCATGACCATGCCAAGATATTTACGCCAATTACATAGGTGAATATGCGTGTGTAATTTGTAATTAATCTTCTTGACAAGTTATTAGTTTGCTCATTCTATGAATCAGTTTATATTATTGAATATGATATTGTTTGATCAATAGTGCCAATTCAAGGTGGCTTTGGTTTTTAAGTCGTAGGAGACTACTTCGATGCCCGGAAATGGAATGTTTAAAACTTATAATGGTTACATTAGTAACATCAAGTGTAATAATAACACTAATGAATGCGGAAATTTGTTTATTTATCCTTTTTTTCATGGAGATAGATATAGAGACAGTCTCTAAGCTCTCGAAAAATAACGTAGGGTTTCCCTACAACATAATAGCATCTCAGGGACACTAGGACACTATCACACTGCAGTACTAGTGCCAAACATTTTATATATGTATAATTCTGTTTATCTAATGTTAATCCTCTATCACGTCAGTTTTTAAAGTGTGACGAATTGAAATTGGATTAACGTTGTAACTTCGTAATTTGCACATAAATGGACGTGTTTACCCGCTCGGTAAGATATCGCCGTGTTACGCCGGCTCAAGCGTGATTACTTGTTATTCACTTCGTTCTATATATAATAATACATATTTTGTTTACTTTATCACTAGCATTTACCGATGACTTTGCCTGTAAAGATTATTTCTATAGAACTCATAGATAACATATAACTTCACCTTTGACTATATGTTTGTTTAAAACGAGGACGGAAATACTAGCATAAGTAAGCTATATTTTTTTTGGTTTTTATGAAGAGTTTAAAAATAAATGTTCCTCGTATATATAGCACGTAAATGCCTCAGACCTGCATCTGATCTCACCGGTCGTGTCGCATTATCATGTTACCGGACTTTGAGAGTGAAAGGAATAGAGAGTGTACTTGTATCTGCATACACACGATGCACAATAATATCTGCTATGCGGATGACGTAGCTCTTAGACAGAAATTGTTAAGGCGGACTTTTTTATATATACATCCAATATTGCTTGTCTTTCTGTATGTCAAATATGTTGGTTGGGAAAAAATATTAAAAAAAGCAATCGGGTGAAGCCAGGGTGGGACGCTAGTTTTACATATATATGCCTTAACATAGAACTTAATATTATTTACAATTAATACTTAACTATATGTTTGTTTATAACATACAGTTGTATTGAAGTTAGTGCATAGTAATATTTAAACACTTGTGTTATTATCTGCTGCATTCCAGACTACAAGGCACCTATTTGCAAGTCAATCGCCTTCTTCAAATCATGTACCAAGAATGTTACATAAAAATAAATTACTTTTGAATATGTTACTTGTAACAATAAGATCAATTAACATGACATTCTTTTATTAATTTATTGAAATTGTTTAGTTTCATGGTGGATTGTTCTAATTGCAATAATTACTCCAAATGCTATTTTTTTTCTTCTTAATATATAACTATATAGGTGACTCAGATATAAAATGAGAATAAAAAATAACTGTACAATCATTTGGTAACAATTGACCTCCTTTTGATGAAGAAATACTTTATTCTACTTGTCGAATTTCAAAAGTTTCTTTACGTAACTAAAACAGAAGATTGCTACCATCTAACATAAAATATACTAAAATTAATAATATTACAATCATATATAATCATAATATTCTTAAATAAAACTATATTTTTGGACTTTTTCGCGGATTTGTTTTGATTTTTGGTTCCCGACATTTCGAATGCTTTACAGAGCAATCATGGAGCAGATCATCAAAATGTCAAATATTCACGTAAATATAAGAAAGTATTACATAATATTCTTGTATAATATATAGTTTAATAACGTGTTATATTATTTTACAGTTAAAAAGGACAACGGTTACACTCTCAATTTCACCACTGTCAAGGATCTCTGTCCCAGTCCTGTAAAATCGAACGGTTTTAGTAGAAGTAGTCCCCCGGTAGAGCAAACTAGTATCACAGGTATGAATGATGCATCTTTTTTTCTTTCTCTCCATTTTTTTAATATAAAAGTTAAATATTGTACTTGTTAATTGGTTCTATTTTTGAGGAAAATATTACAATATGAATCATGTTTATATCATGAATACAAGGAAATTAAGTATGTACATACATAAGTTGTTATGTTATACAGGGTTGTTTATCAATCGCTACTTCATAATATTTACCTAATGTTTTATGATTTTTTTTGTTGCAGTAAATAACATCACAAATACGGAACCCTTAGAAAATACAGCTTTAACGTCTGTGCCTGATGAAAACATGACTGAAGATATAGAAAGGTGAGAGTTTAAACTTTGTCGTTTTACGTAATGATTATTGGTTTGTAATTAAAATTTTAATGAAGGATTGCAAACGCTTAGGTTCTTAAATAATCAAGATTGAAGTATTTTTAATTTATTAAATTTTACTTTATAGTAATCACACTATAACAAATGTATGTCTAAAATTTTATGGATGATAAAATTTTATGATCGATATATTTAAAGGAGCAACCGTCGAGTTTCTCTCCGGCTCCTCTCAGCAGAACTCGCCTTCCGAGCCGGCGGTACATTCCTGACGGACGTTTAATTTTAAAATGTACAATGTACGATAGTGGTGGTGTGTGTCGCAGGCAGTACCCGCCGGTGACGAGCTCGCGCACGCGGCGCGCGTACAAGGACGAGTTCGCGGCGCTGTACACGGAGTACCAGGCGCTGTACGCGCGCGTGGCGCGCGTGGCCGCGCTCTTCACGCGCCTGGAGCGCCAGCTGCGGCGCGCCGAGCCGCACTCGCCGCACCACCGGGTACGAGCCCAGAGTTATCTCGCGGGAGACTGTATTGGGGTTTCTTAATGTTACTCCGGTTGCTTGATTCTTCCTTTTTTTTGTTCTTTTTTCGTATGAAACGTCTCTTTAAAATCACACCGAAGTGTAAAAATGCCAAGTCAGGAAAGTGGACCCAGTAACAAAATAGATCGCATTAGGTTGTCATAGTAATCGTTGTTAATGTCTGAAAAATAATTTATATCATGTTTTCTCTGTTGCTATCTTCCTTCAAAGAAAACTAATTTGTTTTCAAATGTGTAAAATATTTATAAAAAACAAAAACAGTGAAAGCAACTCGCTTAAATAGATATTCCAAACAACTGACGACGGTGTGCCCTGACATAGCCCCAACCGATTTTTTGTTCCTTAAATTAAATTAAAAATAATTATGTTAGTAATAACTATACAGAACTTGATCTTAATGATGACTTTTGCCCTAAAACCAATAAAAAGTAAAAGAGTGAATAATAATAATATGTAAGGAATCTTGTTACCTCACAAGACAAATTTTATTAAACTTATAATTTACTTTATGAGTAGACCTTGTATTAAAATTAATTATATATTATATGTTGCAAGCAATATTGCAATACATTCTAACAATGTGAATACTAAATTGATTCTCATTTATTTTCAACATCACGATTACTTGCGAAAATTCTACTCGCAAATATATTCACTTTTTATGTATAAGTCAGTCATGTTATCCTGCCTTCGGTACTCGGTAGCCACGTAAAATATACAAATAAAAATATACACTACACCCGAATTAAGTACTACCGTATTATTTTTTAATTCGGTCAATTAAATTGAAGTATAATTTCATTTTATTAATATAATAGTACACTCTCTCGAGGCAATCTCGTATGTCTCGTAAAAACAAGGCCAACTTCTTGCGGCTTTAAAAGGTTACAACGGCTAGCTCGGCCCAAGGTCGCGTTCAGAACTATATTTTGTAAATTCTTTTTATTTAATCGTATAAATAATTATTACTTTACATATATTTGTGCGAAAAATATGTTGATTGAATTATTTGGATTTCTTTTTCTAAAGGGCAAAATACGGTAATATAATTAAAATTAAGATTACATAGGTATTTAAAGTATGTAATATACTATTACAGAAATGTCATTCCATACAAAGAGATTCTAATTTGTCATTATTGTAATTTTGAATTATGAGATTTTGTTTAAATTACCGTTATAAATTGTAGAGTGTATTTTCTTCTTTTACTTATTTAACATAAAGATAAATTATAAATCTAAATACATAATATATTATGCCGTATGTTGACAAGTAATAGTAAAGACTAAATAAATAAAGTTAGTGATTGTAAATTTAATAGTTAGAATATGTTTACAATACATATAAATATGAATATCAAATGAAAAACAAAAAAATGTCAAATATTCGCATAAACCTAGAGAAAGTATTATTTTTATTAGTTTATCCAATAATCTATTTCGGCATTTTAATTTCTTATCATCCTTTCATTTATGAAACTGGTTGTTTTTTTTTTGTTTCTACATTGCACGTTGTGATTACCTCTAAAAAGAAACACAATTATACTGTGTTTAATTTATTATGTTTGTAATTTCCGTCGGTGATGTTGATAAATATGAAACTAACTCGTCAGAGCATAGAGCAGCGCATCGTGGAGGAGTACCAGCGCATGCGCGGCGACGCCGCCTACCAGCGCGAGCGGCGGCGCGTCAACTTCCTGCACCGCAAGCTCGACCACATCAAGCGCATGGTGCAGCAGTACGACCAGCTGGTGAGTGCGAGTTACGAGGCCAGATACACTTTAAATACATACATATTATAAATACAAACACACATCACTGGGAATACGAACATTCTTGTTCATCACACAAATTAATGCCCCCGGCGGGACTCGTGCCCGCGACCGCTGGCACGGCGAATAAAATCACTACAAACTGAGCCAAACGTGTTGTCAAATAATAATAATAAAACCCTTTTCCGAAATTAGAGGGTAATAAACAATGTTCGAATCATTCCCAACATGATTACCACTTGTCTTACGGTGAAGAAAAACATCGTGAGGAAACCTGCATGTCTGAGAGAACTCAGTAAGTTTTCGAAAGACATGTGCAGTCCACCCGCACTCGGCCAGCGTGGTGGACTATGTGATGATCGCCCTCGATAGACCGGAGCTCGGTGCCCGGCAGTGGGACTTTAAAAAGTGCTGAATACAAACAACATATCTCCACACCATCACCTCCCTGCCCATTCCCCAAATTGCTTGGGGTCGGAGTAGAAAGTCTTCTTCTTCCATTCTCCCCTATTACTCGTCACAATTATTCACCCCTTTCTCTTTCATGTCCTGTCTCACACAACCTATCCATTTTTTCTTCAGCCTTTGTCTACCTCTCAATCCCTCTACTTTCATTTCCTTCACTCTTCTCGTCACATTCGTTTCATCCGTCCTCTTGACATGTCCATACCAACTCAGACGATTTCCAGCTACTTAGCTTTGCGCTACTTTCAAGCTTTCTCTTATGTACTTGTTCCTTATTTTATCCGTTCTCGTCACTCCACATATCCATCTTAACATTCTCATATCTGCAACATGCAATCTTCTTCCATTAGTCTTTTTCACAACCCAGCATTCTGATCCATACATAACAACAACTTTTATTACGGATTTATAGATCTTTCCCTTCAATTTAAGTGTTAATTTTTTTTGTTCATTAATCAAACAACATTAGTCTGCTTTATTTTAAAAATAATTGAAAGTACTTCGTTTCGCCAACATTTAAATATATATTATTGGCATAAATAAACAAAGACTTATAAATATAGATTAAAAAATAGGTTAGGTGACAGAATTGACTTTTGACTTTAATGTTTAGGTTTATTACAAATTAAAATAAAGCAAGAATACGTTAAGTAATTATATTTATTGCGTATTTTCAAAATAATCGAACAACATCAACATTTGGTACATTATTATTCTAATCAAGTGTGACCATGTTGTCATGATGTTAGTGATGATTATATGAGATTATCTGTGACTGTGCATAAAATTTAATATGATAAGATTAGTATAGCAATGAATGGAAGGTCACGTGCTAAATTTTTTAATCATTTTATGTACCAATATTTAGGACAGATGATAACAATATTCTAACAGGAAGTAGTATTACCCTTTTATGAAGTAAAATTAACATAATATATATCCAATTGAAGGAAATTGTTATATGAAATATGCTTAGTTTTGATAGAGGTTTTCTATCAAAAAAGAGCATCGCTTTATTTCCATATAACTTTTCAAGTCTGTAACACGCTTAAAGGACTATGGGCACATATCAGTAAGTATATAATAAAATAGTTTTTTAAAAACAAAAACAATATTAAATTTATGTAACTTAGAACACGTGAATCTATTATTTATTATATGACATATAAACGGGCCACAAATACGATATGAATTGTGATCATAAGTTTTGAATGATACAATAATTGCATTTAATTAATATTAACAATACAAATGCAAAGTATATTGACACATGTGTTGAATTATTTTCATTATTCCATACATTGACGCACTTTGTCTTACGTCACTATCAGCATCGTATGACGTATACCGTAAACGTTATATTTAAATTAATATACATATATATAAACAATATACTGTTGGGCAGTGTTATATAATTATTATTTTAATTATAATGAAAAAACAAATAAGAACTGATCATACAGAACAGAACATTATTTTTGAAGTTATACTTCTTTTGGCACGTTTGGAAAAAAAAATATGAGAGTAAAATTTTTACGATGCTCGCGCACACCGACAGCCAAAAAGTGACATGATGAAGTTAGCTATAATTCTATTACACACAGAGAGTTGTGACATACGGGATGAAAAAGAAGTATAACTTCTTACGTGCGTACATAAGTGCAAACACACGTTTTTATTTTGTAGTAATCCTTATTATTTCTCTATATTTAAGATTCCTTTTTGTATTTGTAGAGATAAAGAAATACGTTATTTATTGTTTATTCTTATACACGTGATATTATTTCACCTTATAATTTTTATTCATGGTCACATCAGATACTGTTTTATTGCATCTAATTAAATAAGTTTATTTTTTTTACTACTTTATTTATGGTTTATTATAATAATAAATTTTATGAATATTATCAAACGTTTCATTGTAATGGAACAATATATTTTATGGCTTACTTTAAATAGTATTTGTAGTAAATTGCGTCATGCTTTTTGTTTGTTACGCTTTAATCACTTTTTACTTGTTTAACATGAAAATTCGTGTTTTATTTATTTTTTAATGAAGAGGTTTATTTACCTGAAGGATGGTACTAAAATATTAATTATTATAAAAGTGATTTTATCTGAAGTGTACCTTTTTAGTTAAAATTCAATAATATTAATTTACTATATTTGACAATTTAAATATAATCATAATTTTATTTTTAAGGAATTTTGTTAGGGTTTTATTTCCAGTTTTGTTTCTCGACATTTCGATGGTACCGAAAAATAGTTTTATTTAAAAACATTTTTTTTTCTATAATAATGTTGTATAAACCAAAGTTATCTCAAGTGAGTAGTGGTTTTAAAGTAAATTTTGATTTGTTTCCAGCGCAACCCAAAACCGGAGCGAGTTTCGACGGCGAGCACGACGCAAGCGTACTGACACTCGAGTTCCCCGCCGCCCGCCCGCTGCCTCTAGTGCACCACCGCCTCCCGACAGCGTCGCCGTGGGCCGCGCGGGCCGCGTGGGCCGCGCGGCCGCGTGGACCGCGTGGACCGCGTGGACCGCGTGGACCGCGCGGACCGCGCGGACCGTGGACCGACGCTCACGCGTGTCTCCCTCTAGTGGCAACGAACGTTTAATGTTCAGTGAACGCCAAATCGCAGTATTGTACATGTGTGTATGAACGGCTAGTTGTAAGCTTACCGTCGTCGAGATTCCTATTAATGCCTTAACGAACCGGACACTGACGTACAATATATTCGATCGTATCGTGACTGTGCTAGTGTTGTATTGGAACGGTCGGTTTTGTATATGATATATGAGATGTATTCGTCGCGTACGTACGTTGTATGATTGTACACACATAAGCGTTCTGCCCGTTTGGCAATGCAATTGTTGTTTGGTCAGATATATTTAGTTAAAAAATTGTTACATTGCAGCTAAATATGTTTAGTTTTACGGTTCTTCCATTACTTTAAAGGAGAAATCATTTATGTTAAACGATTTATGAAACACCAAGCGGGGATTCAGATCTTCGTCGTATACCGGATATGAGGGCCCATATTGAATTTTAAGAGAACGTTTATAAACCTAGCTAATTATATTATTACATATTTTCGGACATTAACTGTATTTAATGTATATCAAACTTTATTTTTTTACCACGTGCTTGTGCACTTTCGCCTCGGTTGTGATGTTCGAGTAGATACGAACTGGGGCGGAAATATAAGGTTAAATGTTGTACCATAATGTTATTTGCTATTGTTAGTAGTAAAGGATCTTGATTGCGAGAGACATTAACCGTGTAATAGGTCCTTTTGTTTTTATCGATTGGTTTTCATAGTGTAAATAACTGAATACTTATATATATATTTTAATATCAGATAAGTACATAATAGTCCAATAGTATGTTTGTTCGTCCACACTTTTATTCTACACGAAAAAGATATATTGCCGTCTGTTATTAATGTCCAAACGAATTTCGCTTTTAAAAATTTTGCAAATTTTGTTTTGTTTTTTTAAATCTCCTTCTGAAGGATGGATCGGGAATTTTTGCAATTTTAGAGTCAATTTAACAGAATTTTGACTTTTAATAAAATTATTATATTTCGGTGACTGAGACAAGCTCTTGACTTCACAGCCTTGACTTATTGTACTAAAAAGTCATCATTTATAATTAAACTCAATTGTACCGTTTCGAAAAAATGTTCGATAAATATGGCAAAAATGCAAACCAACTTTTCATATAACCTATTATTTTATCAATAGACTTATTTATTTTCGATCAAATTACAAAGTAGTATAAATTATTATTAGTACTGTACATAAAGAGCTCGTCAAATGATTACCGAATATATTAGAAACGTTGTCGATTATACTGTCCCTTTTGTTTCTAAACAAATCCATCCATTTTTTAACGTTGGACGTTCATTGTGTATGCGTCTTGCCCAATTTGCATGTTGTAAATAGTAACATTATAAAAAAAAGTATCACGTTATTGTTAAATTTTACTATGGGTAGTGTAATATTTTTCAGTTTCTTTTTGCTCTTAATATAATAATTATTATTATTATATATGTTCTATTATTTCCACTCGCTCGTGTCACTGTCGCTCGGGCCTGTACATATTCTATTATTAGAGTCACTTATTGATGTCACAAACAAATCTCAAAGGAGCTCGACGGTTAGTATTCGTACGTGACAGTGGGACGAGCGGGCTCACTTAATGTGGTCATAGTTTTTGCCAAATTATAAAATACATTTTATATTTAATTAGTTTTTAATTGAAAACGTCTCGAAGTTAGCAACAACCGGCCAGTGTTGAACATCCACTAGATGTAAGAAATTCTGGTCCTTTTCAACAACCCTCCAATTCACAATAAATTGTAGTTATGTTTAGTCTGCATCACGGCCTTCGCCATCTCAGAGTATTGCCCTGGTCTATACGTTACTATGAATTTTCGAATCTAATTCGTTCTAAATTAAATGAATTCCCTAAATTATGAATTTTATACATATTTTTTTTATTATTATTATATTTTTTTACTGTATCTGTATCATAGTTTTTTTTTCTATTTTTTTGGTTTTTTTTTTTATTTATTTATCAGGGAATTAATACTCACGTCTGGCCGTGTGTATGAAAAGCCGTCTTTCGTATTTTGTCCTGAAACTAACGTCCATATTTGAAAAATGATTTAGCGTTAAGTAATTCTGATTTTATCTCGAAAATAAAACTAAGTTTTTGTCCACTCACTTTAAACAATGAATTGAATGATCATTTTGCTGCTAATCGCCAATCAATTGTTAATGAAAATGTACTGTTTAATACAAATCGTAATAACAGAACAATGCTTAAAGACTTATCTAGTGTATATCGGTTGAAATTATTTTAAAAGTAATATTATTTATATTTTTGAAATTACTAACAGGTTACATTTTCACTAACAGCATTATTGCAGTTTTCGTATTTCAATGTCCTAACTCGTCATCGATTTTTTCTATTTAGTATATATATAAACGAAACGTAAGTTGAAACAATATAGCTTTGGCAGCAAAATAGCAATAGGTTTTTTTTACGACTCTTAAATTGGCCTACGATAAGTTATGATAATAAAAAGGGTCATAAACATTAAAATAATTTAAATTTACCTAACAATTCCACCCCTGGGAGTGGAATTGATTTTTTTTTAATTTTATGGGACCACCCTTGAGGTACAATTTATTCATTAAAAAAATTCATGAAAATCGGTTCACAATAATTGGCGACGGGGTCTAATATATTATGTAACATACAAAAAACATACACATGGAATTGAGTACCTCCTCCATTTTTGAAGGAAGTTAAAAATAACAATATGAAGGTCAGATTAAAAGCTAACTTATACAATCAATTAATAAATAAAAGTCATTGCTGTATTTGTTCATCTTATTTGACACGTTAATTATTTGTTATAAATTAATAATATATATTAATATATAATAGTATATATTATATGACTAGCGTAAAAAAAAATACATTTGAGATAGGTTTACGAAACCTTGTTGATCGATGTTGTTTCAGTTGATTTTGTCAATTAGTATGTCTAATGGCGTATTATTACCTTTATGTTTAATAGGGTATTTGGACTTTAAAGCAATTAACAAGAGAATTGAATTAAAAACTGACAACGTTTACTAATACAAGCGTGTGACGTCACTCCATAGTCAGCCAATCCCGTGCGTTTTCAATCACGTGATTAACAATGATTTTTTTTTTGATTTTAATAATGAATTCTTTAAAAGATCATTTATATTTTAAATTAATGTATCGGCTAAATTAGTACAAAAAATATATACTATTAAGCTAACAATACTTTGATGTATATTTTCAGTGTAGTCAAATACCCTATTGTACTCGGTCAATTGTTTTGTACGTAAACAAGTATGTAGCCCGCCGTCGGGCGATCGGTCAATTCATACGCAACTCGCAAGTGCTCTTTTTTTGCTCACACAGTTGTTGTTATCATTTTTACTCATTAAAATGCTCAATGTTACGGTCTCGATATTAGATTAATCTTCGCTTTGGATTATTAATTTATTATTTTCTCTCTCTCTCTATTTATTATTTTATTACGTCATACTTAATTTAACTAAATTTTACTAACGCCGTTGTTTTTGAATGCCATTTAATCTTTAATTTTAATAAGCCTTTTGCTATCTCCAAACGCCACCAATAACCGTCATCACAAACATTGTTAACGCAATCAAGCGAAAGTTTGATAGGAAGACCGTTGAAAATGTTATTGTTACCAGTAGTTTAAGCGTCGATTGTTTTATGTAATTACTATCGATTATTATAAAGAATATAATTAATCGTTTGTTTCTCGGAAGGAGGTTAATATCTTGTGTTAAAAGAAACTTGTTATGATCGAAGGACATTGTGAAAATGCATTCCATTTTTCTGAGTCTTTATTTAGCACTGTTCATTGATGCACTTGTTGAAATGAAAGCCTTAATGTGATATTTAAACTATATTACGAATTATTTAATTTCGGTGTCATTGTGTTTATTCCATGAAATAATTTAAGATATGATTTTTTGTTATAGGTTCAGGTTTTACAAAGGATTAGTTCTTTTCAATATAATTATTTTCATTTTAGCCATCAATCTCCATCTTGTTTTATACATTATAAGTAAATTATGGATAAGAAGATTTTTATACTTATTAACAAAACGATTACAAACAAATAAATGTTACATTTTCTGATCTTATAAATGACGCCGGAACTATAGGATACGAAAAATATCCATTTACTACTTACATTGAATCACTTATTGCCTCCACATGGAGGTCATTTATTTTATGGTAGCCAACTCTCAAGGCATATTGCATCGATCTGTTTATATTAGTGCATCAATACATAACAATGTGCAGACCGCTGTGAAATGATCTAATTTTTATATAAAAACATGATTATGAATAACTGTCACAAAGGGAGCTATAAAATGTCAACCGTTGCTCGATTGTTACCGTATAAGTTATTAGAAGGCTCGACAGATTTGTATTTTGTCACGTTTATACAGATGATAATGTCTCGATGAAATATCATAGTCCATTGTACAGTGTAGACGATATTTAGAGTAGTGAGGTCACTTACGTTTTCTTAAATCCTAGTTAGTGATATATTAGTAATACTAATTCCCAAATGTATATTTACATCCGGTGCGTGACGAAGACGTCGACGTGTCCCTCGCGTCCGCTCGTCCAGTGTGGTGCGCACGTGCACGACCTTGCACGAGCGTGCACAAACTTGCACGTTTGTGTACAGTCGTGCACACTCGTGCACAACAGTACGCCAGCGAGTAGTCATAGTAGGTCGCGAGTCAATCAGGTTGTGTTAACCGCGTTATTAATCGTAACAAGGAATTTTGGCCTATTTCATTTATATTTATATTTATTATTATCCTGCATCGGCATTCGGCACCGACGCGGCGCTCGTCACGCGGCGGACTGACACGTTACACTTAACATAGCTGATATTATAGCGGCTTAAGGCGGGCGTTACGTGAAGATCCTTACGTTACATAATTATTTAGATGTAGATGTTTGAGTTTGCGTATTCTGATCGAACGTTATTGTAAATTTGCTATTTGTACAGTAAACGGAAAATGGCCGCCGTCGCGCCCCGCGCTCGACGGCGTTCTAGCAAGACTGTCGAATTACCGAACAACTTAAATACTATGTATTATGTCGATGTAAATAAAGTACGAATTAGACGTTTAGACGGATTAAGGATGGTAGTGTTTTTATTTTTATGAATCGCTATTATAATGTATAGGGCGGGAGGCGAGACGGACGAGGGCCCGGCGGCGGCCGAAACTATGCTGCGATATTTTGTGCCCCTCGAAATATCAGTGCATTATATACGAGTCAAGGTGTATAGACGATGCGGTAGTGTTATGTGTATACAAGTGTTTATACAAGCTCGAGTCAGGCGACACTTGCCAGCCGGTTCGAGCGAACGACGACTAGCTATGAATCCTGACATCGGCTCACGTTAATTAGCTTTTAAATATTTCATCAAAATATAAAATACACAAAAAAAAATGGATAAATTCTCGACCAAGTGCTGGTTGTTTTTAAATTATTAAAATGTAAAAAAAATTAGATTATAAACAAAGTATAGGTACAATTTATCAATTATACTTTTCTTTTCGGCATTTCGTGTAACAGTGGAAGGGACTTAGCTTATTTGCTACTCACAAATCGACTATATTGTATACTGTTGTTTTAAGTTCGAGCATCCTCCGCGACGAGTCGAAGCGACCGTGGTGTCGGATGTTCCTTTTGTGATTTCTTTTGCTCACGTCCTCTTCCATTGCTTTATTTTTTGTTTCGCCAACTGTCTAATTGTATAATATGATTTTGTTAAGGCAGGGTAATGCAGAAATGAGAAGAGGTACTTTTTTATTTTAAAATAGATTGAGAATTTGTTTGAATGTTTCAATTGAGTTGATTTAATCCATTCAATGGAATTGTTATGAAAGGCGCAAGAGTTTGTTGTTTTTTTTTTATTAAGTCATTTTGAATTTCAATGATTAATGAGGCAGCGATTAGTTAATTACGATTGTCAAGTTACCACAAAAACAATAGTCAACGAGTTGGCTCTCTTTAGCGTTGTGTTTTATTTATCTTACGACTTTAGATATCGCAGAGCCAAATCACTCTGTTACAAAAAGTAAATTGTATATCACGCAGTACATGGGCTGAAGAGAGATTGTGAAGAGTATTGTTATAAAAGGTACCTATTCAAAATCTGGATGAACAGACTAACTTAAAGTCCGATAGTATTGCTGCAATGTGCATTTATGCCATCTTCATTTTAATTTGAATTATGGGATCAGTGCCAAAACTTTCTCTTTCTTGTTTAGCTCAAAAAGATGCAATTGTAAGCATGCTTGAAGAAACAGCTGAGTTAAATGTTTAGTTAGTCTGCCATTTTGTGAATATTTTGTTTTGATAGTAATATGTAAATCTTTTATAATATATTTGTTTACAATAAATAAATGACAACATTATAAATAAATGAAATTGTATTTTCCATTTAAACTGAAGAAAAAAATATAAAAAGAATAATATGCAATGACGTTGGCTGTTTCATTTCCGTATCTTTCAGTTATAATTATCACTATATGAAAAAATATGATTCATATTCATATAACATTAAATAAATAAAAATACTTATAATATGAATCCTTTTAAAGTTACTCATTTTCATATTAAGGCAAATATCTATGTAATTTTGATTACTATGATCTGATTTACCTACTTTGGAATTGGGAAACGCTTAGAAGCAAAAATATTCTGTGACTGCTATATAGAGGCATTCATAAAAGTGTAGAAGTCTTTTAACCAACAAAAATCTTAGGTTACGATATTAGCTTAATTATACTGAGTATATTATTATATGAAGTAGTTATATACATACATTTTAAGATATTTAAAATATTCATCAACACATTTTAAAAATCACTACATTGAATTGGGTACATGTGATTGTCACTAAGCAGAACCCTACCCTCATTTTCCTATTCAATTCCAATATACCTAGTCACTATAAAAGTATGGATTAAAGCACATACCTAGTTTCTACTGTTAATGTGCATATATACGATAAGATTTGGTCCAATATCGGATAGGATTTTTCAGGACAAACCATTATATACAAAACACTGGATAGATATTATGCTCTTTTTTAAAGTAGTATTAGTGTCCATTATTATTTATGCGCCATTTAGTAGAAATTGCAAAGATTACACTAAGAAAAACAACACATACACATAATATACTTTTACAAGTTTTACCTATGTATCTTTTCACATGAAAGTACTTTATTTATATTATATTTGTCGTTTTTTTTATATATACTGAATTTAGAAAATGAAAAACAAAGTTAATCGAATATATGATTAATAAAGTGTAGTAATTTAAAAAAGATGCAAATACTCCTTAGTAGAGAGTATGCTACAAAATAATTGGTATAATTTTAGTTGTGAATGAATTTTGGTTTCGAAGTACTAAACTTAAGGTGATAGATGCTCTATCCTTGAAGCATGAACATCCACATATATCTGTAGTGGACCAAATCTCATATAGCGTACACACGAAGACTGTGGACAAAATGCGGTGGACGCTGGAACATGTGTGTGCTAGGCATTACTGTTACTGTAAACACCAAAGACGAAAAAAGAAGTAGTTTTAACCTTCCGTGGTAATTGGTACATACATAGTAAATACTGTCTCTCGTAATATAACAAAGTTAGTTCTGAAGATAGTCCGTAATAAAAAAAACCGACTTCGAAACACTAAAAAGTAAAAAGGTACTAAATGAGAGTTTTCATTTAGGTAGCTATAATAATTTATTATAGCTACTATTAATAAATTAACTACTATTAATAAATACAAACTACCATTTAGTTATTTTTTAATATTTCGAAGGCGTTTTTTTAAGTTTTTATTTTTCAATTTTTAGTGTAGACGTAATAGTAGCAAAGTAAGAAGAAAGTATTTTAATGAAATATTCGCTTAAGCAGTTTAAGTTAGTTGATTCCAATTTTTATATGAAGACTGACTAAACTAAAAATCGCTTCTATTAGTAACATTAAAAATCAGGCTTTAAAATCCAATTCTAAGGTACATCAAAAAAGCCCAAACTCAATATGATATTATATATGACTTAGACTGTTTAGTTAACCATTTAATATTTATTATTCATCTGTATGAATTGAAATGAACCTGTGCTCTTTAGTCTTTTCCGTATTGTATAGACTGACAATACTAGTCTACGGTCTTTTTACTTTTGTCTATGAAATTATGTCGGTGCTAAGGTGACAGCTTTGCATAGACTAAAGACTTCTGACTTGTAATTTTATAATCTATTCATTTTAGTTTTTACGAAAATTGAAGAATCTACTGGAAAGTGGAAACTGTTTACTGTAATATGTATTTTAGATTTTATGGTAAATCTGTTTAACTATTCGCAGTACATAAAATAAGGAAGCTAACATGATTCATTTTAAAGAAACTAAGAATAAGTCTGCTTTGAGTACAAGATGGTTACAAATGTCGAAACAAGAACAAATCATCGAAAAAAAGAAGATGGAAATTCAAGCAAAATTAGAAGCCCAGAAACAAGCGGCAGCGCTCGCAGCTCAAGCAAAGTTAACAAAGTATGTTTTCTATTTAAATATATCAAAGTACACTGTTATACTTTTATTGCTAAGTTTATACGTAATTTTAATGACTATTGTCACTTGATGCTCACTAATGATTGTTGACTTCTAAAAATTCTTGTAGGCACTAGTAAGTAGTAATTAACATAAAAATTAAGATATGATAAAGTATTAGAATGGATTAAAATGTTAATAGTATAAATATAGTAATTTACATTTATTTGCTACATAGAAAATATTCTTAATTCTTCTGGACAAAAAATACTTTTATAAAGTTAATCTTTAAACTTAACAATTCTTTTTTCAATTCTAATCAGACATTAGTTTTAGTTTTTAATTGTAAATCTTATCTATAGATACATATAATAAAATTCCGAGTCGAATTTGTATATTAAATATTTTTTTGGAAAATCTCATTAAAATATATAATACAGAGACCAAATCTATAGTTATTAGAATATTTGCCTGTCTGTGACCGCATCACACGAAAACCATTGGATAGATTTAGATGAAATTTGATATGATGATAGCTTGTTATCCAGGTCAATATATGGGATACTTTGTACTGTCGGAAAATATCTCAACTCTGAGAAATCTATACTAAACGTTAAAATGCAACCAGGGACTTGCTAGTTAATATTATAAATGTAAAAGTTTAGGTGTAAATAATCTAAATATTTGGATGGTTGTTTGTTACTCAATCACATCAAAGTGGTTGAACTGATTTGAATGAAATTTGGCACAGAAATAAATTATAGTCTGGAATAGCACATAGGTTACTTTTTATGTGCAGAAAAAAATGTATGGTTCCTGTGAAATAGATTTGTTTTGGTTTTCTAAAGGCAAACTTGAGAGAAGTGAGGGTGAACTGCTAGTATAATATAATCTTACAGTACAATTTGTAATATTTGCTTGGAGTTTTAATTTTGGCCAGGCAATGTTGCTACAATTGTATAAAAATATGTTCTATATTTTATAAAAATGATGTAATTTATCTATACATACAATAAAATTCTAATTAAGTTGAATCTTTACATTAAATATTTTGTGGAAAATCTTATTGAAATAGACATTATTATCGATACAGAGGCCGAATCTATAGTTTTAAGAATTTTTGTCTGTCTGTTACCGCATCACGGAAAAACCTGTGGAGGGATTTTGATGAAATTTAGTATGATGATAGCTGGTTATCCGGGTCAACATATAGGATACTTTTTACTGTAGGAAATATCTGATCTCTGAGAAATCTAGATTGAATTGAAACTTAATAAATTTAGATTGGTATTGACATGATTGTGTTCCTTGTCTTTAATTTTTCTTGGGTAGTATCAGGTATTTTTAAGTTAAGTAATTGAAAGTATCTTTTTATCAAAACAACATAACAATTGAACTATTATTTCACTAAAATACATTACTTAGATGAATCCTTTTTGTGCTAGACTAGGGCATGTTCTGGTAAGGCAAACAGTTAACCCAGTAAAATGTGTTAGGATTTCTAGAAATTACAATTTAGTTGTACATAGGACTGGTTTTTAGTTCATGTTTGGAATTCATTAATAAAAGCCAAAAAAAATGTTTTATAATTTTTTGTTAGTCCTGTTTATGTATTTGCACCTTTATTCTACATAGAATATATTTCTGCCATCAGCCCTACTGCAAGTGAAGACAAAGGATCTCCAAATATTTTCTCAAATGATGGCAGTTTCATGAGCCAGTATAAAGCACTACTGGAGAAGCAAAGTAAGGAAAAGCAAGAAAAGGAGGCCAAAGAAAAGCAAGAAAATGAAGAAACTAAAAAAAGTAAAAATGAAAATAAAGAAAAACCAGAAACAAGTACAAAAAAAGAGGATCATGACAATGATGAATCTTATCATCACAGTGAAAGGAGATCTGAAAGATCATCCAGGTAACAAAGTATCTATACATATAATAAAATTGTAACTGAGCCGAATCTGTACATTAAATATTTTTTGGAAAATCTTATTGAAATAAACATTATTATCCATACAGAGGCCGAATCTATAGTTTTTAGAATTTTTGTCTATCTGTCTGTTTGTTACCGCGTCCAGTGGATTACTGGAGGGATTTTGATGATATTTGATATGGTGATAGCTAGTTATCCGGGTCAACATACATATAGGATACTTTTTATCGCGGGAAAATACCTCATTTCGGAGGAAAAATACAAAAACTACTATAGTATACTAATATGTAAAACCTAAGAATTTGTTTTTGGTCATCTGAACGCGGGCGAAGCCGCGGGCAACGCTAGTCTTCTTATATTAATTTTACTTTTACTAATTTTATTTTTATTACTTTTACTTTGAAATAACAAATCAAAACATATAATGTCATATTTTGACATTTATTTGAACTAATTTTTCTTTTTACTAATGACACTATGGTATTTTCATTACCATTCTTTTCTATGTTTTAGAGATCGTCATCGCCGCTGGAACGAAAGAGGGCGAAATAGAACCCACAGTCCAACAACTCCTGTAGTAGAAGATAGGAAAAAGAACATTGATACTGCAAATATCCCTCCTCTAATGCAACTTTCCGTCAGACCTCCTGATTCCCCACCTAGTTCCCATTCAAGTCGATGGGGATCTCGTGACGGTCCGATGAATGATGATTTCGATCACGGAAATCAAAAAGATCGAGAAGAAAACCAAAACTCTGATTCATCATCTGTTGGACCAGGTCCTATTGGTTCAGGGCCAATGGGGCCTGGTCCAATGGGATTTGGGCCAATGGGTCGTGGGCCAAGTTTGATGGGTCCCGGTCCAATGGGTCCCGGTCCAATGGGCCCCGGTCCAATGGGTCCCGGTCCAATGGGTCCCGGCCCAATGGGACCCGGTCCAATGGGCCCAGGTCCTATGGGCCCTGGACCAATGGGTCCTGGTCCTATGGGGCCCGGTCCTAATATGCCACCTGGTCCTAATATGTGCCCACCAAATTCAGGTCCCATGATGGGGCCTGGGGGACCTATGCCACCAATGCCTCCACCCTTTATGAATCCAAATTTCCCAATGCCCCCCAATTTTATGGGTCCAAATGGTCCATGTGGCCCAATGCCCCCAATGTGTGGTCCAAATATGCGTGGTCCGGGGCCAAATGGTCCTATGCCTCCTCCACCGTTTTTCCCACCTTTTAATAACTCCCAAATGTCGGGGCCTAACGGTCCACCTAATTCACTGATGCCTCCAAATTCATTGAACCCACCATTTGGACCGAACGGTCCTAATTTCGGACCCCAGCCCCCGTTCGGACCAAACGGTCCGAACTTTGGTCCTAATAATAGCGGTCCGCCAATGGGGCCAAATAATGTGCCATTTATCGGACCAAATTCGATTACTGAGTCGAAATCCTTAGACATCCCACCTCCGGAGCCCATGAAACTCCAAAATATTCCACCTCCTATGCCCATGCCGTTAAACCATATACCAAAACCCAAAGACATGGAACCGTGCAACATACCGGCGCCGCCCAACTCTTCGCAAGGTAAACATCGTTTAATATAATAAAAACCTTTTTCTTGAGTTACTTCAGTGTGACACAATGCAAAAAAGAATTATAGGCTTCACGAAAATGCACTATAGTTTCACGTAACAGCAGAGTGACACTTAATATTATTCTCACATAAGTTGTGATAGAAATCAAATATTTCTAATTCTAAATTCAAAATAATAAATTCGGTTTAGGGATGAGTGTTTTAAATTGCTTAATCACTTTAACCTCATATGTAATTTTTAAATTTTCTTTTTGTTTTACACAACATTTATGTTTTTCTTTGATGAGTAAATAATTGTTGTATTCAAAACATGTTAGTGTAAGCTTAGCTAAGTTAAAATTTTAAAGGGTTACAAGATTGTATCTTATGATGTACTCAACATACTAGGGATAATAGAGGGGTTGTACGACAAAATGTTGACTCGTAGTGTGCAGTTCTCTCTCCAGATGCTTTCCCGCCTCCGGTGCGTCGTGCGGCCGTCGAAGTATCGGCCAATGGCGACCACTACGAACATGTCCTGAAAATACAAGACCAAAATATGTGGTAATGCCACTGAACCCAATCGCTTCCATCAATGGAGGATACTGTATTCATTTTTATATTACATACATATAAATATTTAGTGTGGAACAATGTCTCTGTTATAAGTTAAAGTTTTTTGGATTATTTTTATTATTGAGAAATTTTTGTTATGTAAACTGATGGTGTTCCATATCTATATTTTCAGGTTGAATAACTTAAACACATCGATTATGGTAATTTTCTGTTGGCGAGTTTTATTTAAAAAAATACGGTTCCAGGTTTCTGCATAATCCGAACTCGAATGAATATAAGGCGTATCGGGAATTGGTGAATCAAATGCGGAAAGAGAGAAAGCCTGAAGTCAAACCTGAAGATAAATATGAACCAGAGTTCTCGCTGGAAGATGACGACAGCAATGATAATACTAAAGTAAAGGAGGAAATGAAAGACAGGTGAATCAATATTTTGAACTATTATAACTAAAATATCATTTTTAATTTAATATTTTGGTATTTGAATTATAAAAGGTTATTAATGAATGGATATGTAATTATTTATACAAAGAGATTTTCAAGACAATTCGGTAATTTAAACTGGTTTTAGCTACGATATGTACGCGCATCAAAGTAATATAAAGCGGGAGCACACAAGCTCTCAAAGTGATGAGGATTCTGAGAACAAAAAGGAGCGCAGGAAAAGAAAGAAGTCACGTTGGGGAGATGATCCTCCTATTGATATAAAACCGCCCGGAGTTGTTGCACCTTTGCCCAGTTCCATTCCAGGTATATTTTTATGTAAATTATATTTTATACTAGACCATCTAGTATTTGATTTTAACTAGGTGTAATATTTTTTTTCCAAAAGGAGATAAACCTTTTTTTGATTATCACTTTCCCAAAATATACAGGGGCAAAGATCATGGGATATAAGAACTGTGTTAGTTGAACGCAAATTTAATACACATATTTTTTTGTCGTCGTTTTCATTGACTTCACCTCTGACCTCTGTACTCTATTTCTAAGCTAGCTCAAATGACTCTAACTAGAAAAATACAAAGTTTCAAGTCAGCAAAATTTTAAGTAGATAATAAAAGCACAATAATAAATAACTTTAAATTGCAGGTGCAAGTTTATCTAAAATAGACGAAGATGGTCTTAAGCTAACAAATGTGAACCGCAACAACCAAGCATTAATGCAATACGCGATGACTAACTACGGCACAACAAATCTCAATGCAGAGGATTGGAAGAAGTGCGAGGACAATTTCAAACTGAATTTATTGTATCAGGTCTGTTCCACTAATATTTGTTCTATTTAAGCAATAAGCGCATCAAAAAGGAATAGATACTTCATTTTTTGGTTAAAATTATACAATACCAATAACATTTTTTTATGAGAAGTTTATACCTCAAAGCTTTATTTTTTGAGATACTTTGTTAGTGCTAAGTTTACACTAAGAATGAAAACAAAAACTAAAAAAAACGACTTAAAAAGTAAAAAATTACTGATTAGTGGTTTTTATTTACTATATATACCTAAACAGATGTTTTCTAAGTCAGTGCCATCCGATGCAAATCAAAGTCGTCGGACTTAGAAAATATCTGCTTAGGCATCTATAGTAAATGAAAATATTTTTTCTTTTTAGTGTTTTTTTATAATTCGTGTTTTTCATATTAAGAAATTCAAATTTTCATATTAAGAATATAAAGTATTAATAACTAATAATACAAGTATTAATCATATAAATTATAAATTAAAATATTATTCGTCGCACATATATTTTATTATACTGTATTTAAATTTCGTGGTATTTCAATAGTAATAAAAATTGCATGACATGTTATTGTTGCGTGCTGGTTCGATAAGTTAAACACAACATAAGAAAGAGTTTATTATATTTATAGCAAATTGTAATTACAGTATAGGTAACTTAAAATACGTTGACTCAAAACTCATTCGAATGAGTAAATGAACAATATGATATATATATATATATATATATCATATATATATATATATATATATATATATATATATATATATATATATATATATATATCTACCGCAAGGTGCAACCCTATGTGTCTTATACAGTTATACTATTTTAAAAAATTACAGGACATGTTAAAGAAGAGACAACAAGTAGAGCGTTTAGCGGCAGCCGGCAAGCATAAGTATGAATATGACAGTGATGAAGATATTTCAGAGGGGACTTGGGAACATAAGTTTGTATAATTTTACTTTTCTAATGAGTTATTTAATCTTTTAATTCACCAAAAAAAAAATACAATGAAAAACCGAATACAAAAATTTACAAACATGCATTTCAGTATGGCAATGTATATTATGTAATTAGAAAAGAACACGTAGGCTTGCATGGATATGGCGAACAAATAAAGGGACAAAGTAGAAAAACATATAAAAAGTCTTTATATATATTATAATGCATAAAAATTAAAACTCTTTATTTAGATGTTTCATATTTGTGCCCTTTTTGGCATTCTTATAAAAAATTGGTTACCTATTTAAGTTTTTTGTGTAAGCTACCATTACAATGTCTCCGTAATGAAAATGTGAAGTTATGGTAATGAAACTTTGTTAGAATATTAGTTAATGGTAATAGATTAATTAAAATTCTACATCGAGGTTCCATACAAATTAAAAAAAAAATTGATTAGCGAGGGAATAATTGCTTTTAAAGTTTTAAGTGATTTTGATCATTGATCTTAGTGAACCTCTTTAGTAATTATTTTTAAATCAAATTTATTATGTTATAGATTGCGTGCTAAAGAAATGAATGCTACTGAGAGATGGGCGACAGAACTAACAAAACAAGCAGCAGGAAAACATCATATCGGGGACTTCTTACCACCTGAAGAATTAAAAAAGTGAGTATACACAGACATTTCTATTTATCTAAAATACAATATAAGGTTCTTAGAAGCTATTTCTATGTCATTATATACATATAATTTCAAATATCCATAGATTTCCATAATGAGCATTTTTACAGAGAAATATGTATTCAATTATATCATTATTTTTGTTCTTTATGTCATTGTATTATTATATTTTTATATCATTTATTATTTAACTAAACCTAATATATAGGTAAATTGTTAGTGACAATTAAACCCAATTTTTTGTATTTTTGTTTAATATTTGATAGCCCAAATAAAATATAAGGTTATCTATACTTAATATTTTCGATACATATACTCATTACTTACTCATTTCGTACAATGTTAAACATTTACAGATTCATGGAAAAATATTCAGCAGTGAAAAGTGGCAAGGAGCCAGACCTCAGCGATTACAAAGAATATAAATTGAAAGAGGACAATGTTGGTAAGGATAGTGTGTTTATTTATGATCTTAAGCTATATATTGTTTGAGTTGTTGACTGACACGAAAAAATGAGTTTGTGAATGTGTGAGTGTATGTTTGTATATTTGTTTGTTACTCGATGCCATAGAGTAGTGTTAGTATATGTTTCAACTTAAAAACTTTAGCTCATTTCATTTAAATCAGTTGATTTAAGCCAAATTTTCGAACTTCTACGTTAAATAGACTTGTAAACTTAGTTATCTTAATGAAATATAACTTTTTATTTTTAAACCCCGACCCAAAAACGACGGGGTGTGATAAGTTTGACGTGTCTGTGTGTGTGTCTGTCTGTCTGTGGCATCGTAATTCCTGAACGGATAAAATGAATTGGATTTTGTTTTTTTTTTATTGAAAGGTGAATTAGTCGGGAGTGTTCTTAGCGATGTTTTATGAAAAAACGTCCAAATTGGTCGGTTTTATTTATTTTTAATTTATTTTATTATTTTAAATTTTTATTTTTATTTTAATTTATTAATTTAGTTATTCATTTTGTTCAGGCTTCAAAATGTTACAAAAGCTTGGGTGGACGGAAGGAGAAGGTCTTGGAGCTGAGGGTACGGGCATTGTTGAACCTATTAACAAGTCAGTATAAAATATTATACAAATACATAAATGATATAATGTAAAATGAAGATTAATAATATTATAATACATATAACTTCATACTAACCTTAGGCTAAACTTTTAGAGATACGTCAAAAAATGTACTAGAAAATTATAGGTCTTAAAAAGACCTATAGAAAAGTACTCTATAGCATGTGTCTATCACATATGGTATGCTTATAATAAATATTTTTATCTTTACAAAACCTACACCAGAGCGAAACGAGGTTAAGTCGTTAATATATAATAAATATATGAGTGAAACGGGTTCAAATCCCGGGTTTCGCACCTCTGATATTTTCATGTGCGAATCGTTTCCAACATGATTGCCACTCGTCTTAAAGGTGAAGGAAAACATGGTGAGGAAACCTGCATGTCTGAGAGAACCTAGCAAGTTTTCAAAAGACATGTGAAGTCCGCCAACCCGCACTCGGCCTATGGAAGGGAGGCCCGCGCCCGGCAGCGGGACGTTAAAAAGGTCTGAATACATCGTTCGTTGCAGAGCGAACCAGCCCGTCGCCAACCTGGGGCTGGGCGCGGCGGCGGCGGACGGCGTGTGCCCCGACGACGACGAGTTCGACGCCTACCGCAAGCGCATGATGCTCGCCTACCGCTTCCGACCTAACCCACTGGTACTTTCAACAATTATTATAATTAATAATGTTCTCTTCAGCCTTGTCTCATTGAGACTGGCTAACTGCGCAGGAAATATTATAGTGCACAATATTGAAAACTATAGTTCATTCGCGTTAAGAAAATAGTGAGTCATCGATGTCCACCGGCCTAGCCACGCCCCTCGACCGATTAGATTGTATAAAATTATAAAGTCATATTTCACAATGACCAGTTGAAGGCAGACTTAAATATATTATTAATGAACATAATTATTAAATAAAACTATCTTTTCGGATTATTTCGCGGATTTATTTTGATTTTTGGTTCCCGACGTTTCAAAACCAAAATAAATCTGCGAAATAATCCGAAAAGATAGTTTTATTTAATAATGTCAAACATTCGCGTAAATCTAACAAAGTATTATGTGAACATAATTATCTCAAATAAAAATAAAGTCATTATGATCTCAAAACAAGATTTCAGATAAGTAAGATAATTAAGTTGATTTTTATGCATTAAACTAAATCTTTTGAAATATTGAATTTGAATTGAATTTTTACTCCCACTTTGTATACACCTTTACGTGCCGTTGCACTTGATGACTCACTATTTTCTTAACGCGAATGGACTATAGTATATGATTATGGTAAATGATCTAAAATAGGTAAAAGTACAAATAAACGAATCATTAAAAAAAATACTTGATACACAATCCCGTGCAAAAGTTCTCTTAAAACTGTCACCAATTGTATTTAGATAATTATTCTATGCAATGCTTAAAGATGGTTTCCCACAAAAAAAGCGCGCTTAAATATTCAAATATGAGTTCATTCGGTGAGGATATTTTTTTATTGCTTATTGTGTATTTAGTACTTTTTTGATCGATATTGGACTGCATTTCATGAAATGATTTCTGTCACTGATTAAGAATATTGAAATAACAAATCAACAATTTTATTTTTTCTTACAGAATAATCCACGGCGACCATACTATTAATGAATAGGTGACGTCAATTACATATTTTTTTTATATAGCAGAGACATAGTTAAAAGCGAGTTAAATAAATACATACCTTGTACTGTTTCCTACTTCATAGTGTATGTAAAGTTAATTCTTAGTGATTAAGATTTTTAAATTGTATCTTATTATATAAATTAAATACACAAAGAACAAATTTATTTTCATCTAACTTTAGTACAATTGTAATATGATGTGGGGGTCAATTTAAAATGATCTTTCTTCTATTTAATAACTATGTATAGTATCACTCGTCTAGATAAAGAATGGGATTTTAAATGGCGTTGACAATATTTACCTCTTGCTTAAAAACAATCGCTATCTACTTTGCTTAGTTTTGAATACGAAAAAAAACAATGTATTTACATATTAAAATATTATGTACTTAGTACATAATTTTATTTCACAACAACAAACAAAAAGGGTTACTTAGGTTTATTTTTAATATTTCATATTTATTCTTAAAAGTTTTTCCAAATAATGTGTAGCATTTTTTTTTATAATATAACTATTTTTAACTAACATTATTAAACTAAACATACCGATAATTACTGAAATATTTTTTTTATAGACCATGGTGGCTCAATAAGCGTTTTTAATTCCATTCTTTTTCTGCAAGGGTAATAAATACAATCGTCTATTTATATAGTTTAAAGTAGATAGAGAATTCAATGGTTTTCATATATATATAATATATTTTATTAAATGTAAGGCTTTTTTAATATTGTTAAATTAAAATGTGATCCCATTACTTCCCAGCGCTTACTTGATTTTTTATACCTGTATTTAAATGAATTAAGACAGTTTGGAAAAATAAATATATTATGTAAATAAAGCATAGACTTTATATATTTTTCATTATTGTCATATATTATTCTGCTGAACCAAAAGAATAAACTTTCATGCAACTGCATATTACACATTTAAAATTTGTAAACATACCTTACTTATTACAAAATTAACTTTTAATAATCATTTCAAATATCTTATTTCTAATAATAATTAAGTACAATTGTATACACGATATAGTACAATAGTTTTTTTAACGACATGGAATTCTACGTATATTTTCATATGAAATAAATATTGGTATTGAAAATGTATATCTTAACGTCCATTTAGTGAGGAGCTAAGTGAAATTTTCTATAGCGATAATTATATCATAGTACATATATATTATGTTATATTTCAAGATATTTGTAGATTATTAATACATTATATATAAAAAATTATGAAACACGTTACTTATCAAATTCATTGTAGTTTTGTAGTTACAAAATGTTTGTATGGAAAAGTTATTTTTATAATATAAGCTTAATGATCACTTATTACAAAAACACAGAAGTTATATTTGAACTTTTATAACATTTTGAAAAAGATTATTTTCATGATTTTTTTATTATTTTATGTTAGTGGGCAAATTATCGTATATTTGGTTCGATTCTTGGTTTAGGTACATTCAACATAGTTTATACTTAACATCCAATTTATAATAAGGATTTATTTAGTATATTATAGTCTAATTAATTGTCTTTCATTATATTTTCAAATGGTTATTTTGTAGAGACAAAATCACTATGTAGATAAGTCTTCTAGTTTCTCTTCCTTTTTGTATTATAGTATAAGATTTTTATTAGCAAGTACAAGTTCTTGTTATTTTTAATAAAAAAAAAACGTTCGTGTCAGAAATTTGTTTTATTTTACAGAATTTTATCAAATATTTTAAAAGTCGATTAAGTGCAAAGAAATAATTTAAAGTGTTTTTTTATAAGTAATAATTTTCTATATAATGGATCTATGTAGAGAGTATATTGAAAAACATTAGTTACCTATATTTTAGTTACTCTTACAATTTCAATCGTAAAATATTTTCTTAAAGTTAAATGTGTACCATCAATTTTTACATATAAAATTTGCAATAAATTATCAAAAGTAGTAACAGTTTTAAAACAAACGAGAAATTTGAAACAAACAACCTTGCTACGAGTAATTCTGAGAAACGTAAGGCGATAATTTTTCAATCTGATCTAATTGTTAGTGATTCAACCAGACGTGGACGCGCTCTCGCCACAGCATCCAAACTAAATTTAGAATTCAGTGACAACTTATTTTAAACTAGCATTCGTAGCACAATATCGTATTTTACGTACATATTATAATATTTACATTGCATTTGTTAAATTATAATCAATTTATTGTGTTTTAATGTGCAAAAATGTCGAAACTTAATCGTAAAAGTGCTAGCAGCTTTCAAGTGTATCGCCATGTGAATTCCAGCAGTAGTGAGAGTTCCACGAGTGATGGAACGTCAGACAATTCAGATCCGCCGCTAAAAAGGTATGTTAATGATGATATGTATTAGCATTTTTTAATCCTCCCACGACCGCGGACACGCCGGCGTGTCAGTTAACGATAAATTTCTTAGAAATTTACCTGGTGGTGTTATTAATAAATATTTCTCTTGAAATTAGAATAACTTTTATACGTTCATGTATTCGCAGAAGTGATAATACGTAGGTGGGTAAAACATTTAAAAAATTAATTTATTTTCGAAAAATAATTAAACCAATGCCATCTGTGCAAGATAAACATCTTTTTTATGTATATAGTTTTACATAGGTAATGTTTATATATATATATTATGTTGCGTATCTAATGTTATCGGTCTAGGTACTAATATGAATGCGTGAATAACATACTAGTCCATAATATAAAACTACTACTAATATAAACCTACACAAGCAACATCATCTCGCTTTGCTTGGGTACGTCCTAAGGTACCTAACAGCCTACGCCCTACACTAACTTCAGCGTGAAGGTGTAACAAACACACACACAGACAAATAATCTTTTCTTTTCTAATAACTGTCCAAGCCTAATTGAATTTTTCTATGCCTATTCCCTGAATTTTAGGGTTCCGTACTTTAAAAGGGAAAGAAACCTTTATTTCACCGATAAATGATAAAATATAAATACAAATTATAGATTTAACCGACTCCTCCGTTCGTCTGTCGCGAGGCACTGGTCGTTCTTCAGGCGCCAGCAACCGAGTCTACGCAACAGAGGCAGATCAGTGTCGGACGCAGGGCTTTGCTCTATTGTTGATAATGGTAAATAAATATAATAACTGTTTCTGTGATACTGTAAATAAACAAAAAAACCTGCGAACTCTTGACTAAATTTGTTAAACCGACCTACCTAACAACATGTTATCGTAAGGTCTTAAGAAAATCTTAATGGAAATCTTATAAGTATACGGTTATCTATCCAAGTCCGAGCTTCTGAGAATCTTCTTGATTGAAAAACCCGACAATTAGGTATATTTGGACAGTCCTGAGATTTGAACCCAGGACCACTTACGACTACATCAGTAGCAGTAAAATAGTATTGCTATGCCCTAGTGATGTAGCCTACGAGTAGGTACTATTGGGACTGCCATACATAGTGCCCCATGCAAGTTACGTTCTCGCATGGGGCACAATCTATAACAAGAGTGGTTACATATATAGTAGGTATATTTCTACAAAATGAACCAAATGGAAGAATTTTCAGACTTTTTTGAGAAGATTTAATTTTTATTATAACCTTATTTCTACTTCGTATCTAGGATGTTCGAATCTTATAAAAAAATATGCAGCATGAAAATTCGCTTCCGTAAAATAATTTTCACGTATAAATAATTGCAAAATACATGTATTGTCCGAGGAGTTTTTTAAGTCATAGCCATTATTATATTACGTACTATACTATATTTCTTTAGATCTGGCATACTTGGACATCCCGATGGTGTCACAGCGTCGATCATTGCAAGTTATCGTACCTGAACTATCGATCACGTAAGTATCGTCTTCAAAGATTGTAATAGCAAATAAAATAAATAATTATACCTACAAGTTTTAGTTTCTTAGACACTTTGAAGTGACTTTATGAGAAGTGCGTTTTATAATCTGTGCTAATATAATTCGTTCTAGATTCTTTATAACAGAACCTGATATAGCTTTTGGAATGCAAGCAATTTAACTAACATTTTTTTAAATATTTATATCCATACATCTTCCTAAGCTTCCTTGTCTTGTCTCGTTATTCACAGGCGTTTTTTCTCAAGAAACAATTTCTTAACAGAAATATTTGGGAATATTTATTTTAATTAAAGCTAACCTTGACCATATTTCACTAGGCAACCCGTTTGCGATTTATTAGTTTAAGTTTATATTATACTAGCGGACCCGACAGACGTTGTCCTGTCTACACGTCTTTAATTTGAAAATTTCAAACTTTTTTTAATAATTTTTTTGATGAAAATTATTATTCAAATTGTGAATCTAAACCATTCCCAGATCCCCTTGAACACACACAAAAAATTTCATCAAAATCGGTCCAGTCGTTTGAGAGAAGTTCAGTGACATACACACTCACAGAAGAATTATATATATAAAGATAATTTTAATAAGGTATTAAAATACTTTGCATTCGGTAAGTAGATGAGTGAAGGGCGACCGTACTTCGAAACTTCCACTAAAAGTATAAATAATAGCTTCATTGATTTAATTATTTGGAGATACTAATGACTATAATACCTAGCTATATCAATTTAGCCCTCCAATTGACTCTCACTTATATAAATTAATTAGTTTAGTATGTAGAGTTCAGACTGCGTCTTGCTTCTCTCTCTCTCTATTGCTCTCTCTCTATTGCTCTCTCTGTATTCTGTTGAAATAAAATTAAAGATTTACCCGCCTACTCTTTCAATAAAGCCAAGTCTATAAAAATACTTAATACCGTCCAGTTATAAGCTTAAGCTCTACTTTTTTCTAAACATCGCTCTGACACATACCTTAGATACTTACAGTACATACTAGTGTACCTAATTTGGAAATGTTATGTATGGATTCGATACAATTCGAGATGCATACTAATTTATATACATACTAGCAGAACCCGCGGCTTCGCTCGCGCTAAAACTACAAAAAGAACTAAAAAGATAAGTTTCATACAAACTTTCATCTCCTATTTTATCCCCTTATGGGATGAATTTAGAAAAATGCTAAAACACGTATTTATTTAATTGTATTAAAGAGCATTATACCAAGTTTCAAGTAAATCTGATCATAAATAATTTTTTGGGTTGTATTATTACGTGTTTTCCCGTGGGAATGAGATATTCTCCTGTGTAAAAAGTAGCATATGCTACTCTCCGGCCCTCCAACTATCTGTACACAAAAAATCACGCCAATCCGTCACTCCGTTTCAACGTGAAAGAAGGACAAACAAATGAACAAACAAACACACTTACACATTTATAATATTAGTATGGATACCCTCTAGGTGCTTAATAGTAGCCTATTACGTATTTTAGGTCGTATGGTCCAGTCCGGGTCTATTTTTGTACTCAATTTCATTAAAATCAGTCCAGCCATTTCGGAGTGAAAAAGTAACAAACAAACACACATACCTACAAACTTTCGCATTTATAATAGTAGACCGATTACATATTATAAATATTATAAAACCTTATAACAAACACGCTAGTCTTGTTTGGAATTTCTTTTAGATGCGATCTGTTGATTACGAAGTACAAAGATGTTATCGATCCTTTCTTAGCCTTGACCGTACCAATGACTAAATAATACTTGCATTTGTATAGCATTGCTTGAGTTTACTTTGAAAACGAAGAAGTTTAGAATATTATACTATAATTTCCGTTAGGTATAGTCCAATTATAGCTAAAATAAAATATATTGTTAAATGTGTTTTTGAGTAATATTTGACGGGATGGCCAATAAAACGTCGTTATTCTCGTAATTAATGTATATATTGTACTGCTTTCCACCAAATATGAAGCAAGACTAAACTAAATAAATATTCTAACAAAGTTCATAACGAAAAGTAGGGTTGACCTACTTTTTAAAATATTGACAAGTGTCAACTGACATTCAGAAAATACATTTTATAAACACAGAGTATAAATTCGGTATATAAATTAGTAATCCTAACAGCTCGGCCTTCCTGAGCAAAGGCGAGTCCTCTCGCAAAACAATGAAAACTACAAAACAAAAGAGATTTTTTTCATAAATGTACATATTTAAGTGCTCGATTAGCTAATTAAACAACAACATAAATGTAAATCAAAGGAATAATCTTATAAATCTTAACAAATTCATTTTAAGTTAATATTAATTAATTTAACATTAATAAATAGCAATACACAAAAAAAATACAAATCATCTATGTGACCAAATACATTAATTACTATAATATAATAATTAAAATTAATATCACCTAACTAATTATTAAATTTCAAATTCCTCTATCAGGTATCAGATTTCTATAGTCATCTGTGCTATCTCTTTCTCTGCACTGACCGTATCACGGGCCTACGAACGGTATAATCTGCTGGGGATATCCATGCTAAATAACACTCACCGCTCAGCTTACACCGCCGCAGTCTGCCCTCTGTCATCTGTGCAAAATTAATCATGACACTGATACATCTGTAGCCTACATCTGCGCAGTCTGCGACTTAGTTATCTATGCTAATCTTTAGCACTAACAAAGTTGCCCACGCTGTAGTCTGCTACTGTAATCATCTGTGTCTCAGCACTGACTATTTTCTCATTTCAAATCATAAATTACTTACTGTTGAAACAATTAGTATGTTACTCATTACTCTGAATCATTATTATCATCATCACTTTGTGAACTACAAATATCTCTTTGAAAACTGACCCATGGATGAATCTTATCTAACGCAACTACATTTTCATATCGCTTATTATTTTTACGAGTTAATGGTGTGTCTTCGATTAAATATCTATCGTTAGGTAACACTTTACAAATTCTATATGGTCCTTGCAACTTTGGTAATAATTTCTTTGGTTTACCTGCACTATCCTTTTCATTGTAATTACGTTCTATCCTAACCAAATCACCTATTTTGTATGAATGACCTGCTTTACGATTTTTATCATATTTATTTTTCATCGCCATTTCATTATCTCTCATTCGATCACTAGCGTCTTTCCTAATACCTACAAGTTCATTTTCAGTTAATCGATCTTCTGTATCATCAAATATTTCGTTTATTATGTTTTCTGCACTACCTATTATTTTATGCCCAAACAATAGTTCTGATGGACTCTTTTGTGTAGTTTTATGAATTGTTGTATTTAACCCAAGCTGAATATCTTGCAAGCATTCATCCCACAAGTTATCTTTGAGTCCATGACACTTTGTACTGAGCGCATCAGAAATGGTCCTGTTAAACCGCTCAACTTGACCATTTGCCCTTGGGGTTGCTACTGAATTTAGGATGTGTTTTATACCACGGCCTTGAACAAAAGATTTAAATTGATTGCTAGTGAAACAGGAACCTCTATCTGTTATAAGTCTTTGTGGATTTCCAAAGTAACTAAAATGATTTTTAAATACATTGATTGTACTTGACGTTTTTGTATTCTTTACAGCCGTTAAATTGACATATTTAGTAAATGCGTCTATAATAACTAGAATAAAGGTGTTTCCTCTTCGACTACGAACGAAGGGACCGAGATGATCAGCGTGTATTGTATGGAACGGTATATCTTTCTTAGGTATAGGAAATAACATTCCTTCTTTCTTACCTCCCGGAACTTTATGATATGCACATTCTAGGCATGAATTACAATATTTCTTAATAAATTTTCTCATTTTAGGAAACCAATATGTAGATCTTACGCGTTCAAGAGTTTTTTCGAATCCGAAGTGACCGATATCATCGTGATTCATGCGTAGAATTTGCCATCGAACACCCCTTGGTACAACCCATCTAATACCTCCATCTATGTTTCTGTAAACCTTACCCCCTTTCAACTGATAATTATTATATATATCAACGGTATCTTTAGTATTTTTTGATTCCAGTATTTCCTTTATTCTCTTAATTTCCTCATCATTATTCTGTATAGTAGCTATCCAATCTTCAGTGGTGAAATTTAATACGTCTAATATTTGTAAGTCAGTATCCGGATTAGAATCATTAACAGGACCCCTACTAAGCGCATCAACATGGCCCATTTTATTCCCTGGTCGATATTCAATTTCACAATCAAACTCTTGAAATTGAATCCACCACCTCGCTATACGTGGAATAAGATCACGTTTTGTAAAAGTTGTACGCAAGGCACTACAGTCTGTTACAATTTTAAATTTTATGCCTAATAAATATACTCTAAATCTGTTTAATGAAGATATTACCGCAAGTGTCTCTTGTTCGAATGAATGCATCCTTTGCTCTTCACTAGTATTTTTTCGACTGTAATAAGCAACGGGTCGTAACAAATTATCAGCCCCTTTTTGCAATAAGATTCCAGCTATACCTATTTTAGACGCATCTGTATGCAATTCAGTTTCAAGCTTTTGATCATAGAGTGCCAATATAGGTCTTTCCACTAATTTACTTTTTAATGTAATAAATGAATTTTCTTGTTGATCTGTCCAATTCCATGAAAAATTTTTCTTAAGTAAGTCAGTTAACGGCCTAGCAATAATCGCGAAATTTTTTATAAACCTTCTAAAAAAACTTGTCAAACCGATAAATCGTCTAATATCATGTATATTTTTTGGTTTTGGAAATTCTGAAATAGCTAATGTTTTTTGATAGCCCGGTCTTATACCGTTCGCACTAACTTCAAACCCTAAGAAATCAATTTTATCATAAAAGAAATGGCATTTGCTTAATTTTAAGGTAAGCCCCCCTTCTGTAGTAAACTTAGAACCTCACGCAACCTACTTATTCCTTCAGAATAAGACTTAGCTGGAATTAAAACATCATCCATATAAATTAAAGCATATTTTATTTTAGCTTCTGCGAGTATTTTATTCATTGTCCTTTGAAATATAGATGGAGCATTTGCCAATCCGAATGGCATTCTTGTGAATTCATACTGTCCATCCGGAGTGACAAATGCTGTCTTATTCTGAGAGCCTTCCGAAATAGCTATTTGATAGTAACCCGAAAATAAATCTAGAGAAATAAATAAACTATTACCTGATAATAAATCTAGCTGATCATCTATGAGAGGTAATGGATAGTGTTCTTTTTTAGTTTTATTATTTAAGGCACGATAATCGATACACAATCTCTTATCTCCCGTTTTCTTTTTTACTAGAACAATAGGACTAGCGTATGAGGATTTTGATTCTTTTATCACTCCAGCATCTAACATATCTTGGACCATTACTCTAACTAGTTCTCTATCTGCATATGGTAACCTATACGGGCGATAAACGACAGGCTTAGAATCAGTTAATTCTATTTCCATTTTAACAATATCTGTATATCCTAAGTCTTTAAGACCAGACGAGAAACAAGTGTTAAATTCGTAAAGTAATTTTTTTAAGTTATCTATTTGTTCATTACTTAAAATGTTACCTACATTTAGTTTATTTAAATCTTCTGAACTTAAAATATTAACTGTCTTTTCATTATCAATTATTTTAGCTCTATTAATTAAAATATTGTTATTAATATTTAATTCATTGTCAGAGAGATTTAAAACTAAAATAGAACTTTGTTGATTTTCAAAATTGTATTCGCCTGGCATTAAATAAAAATTATATCTGGGCTTTCCTCGTATAGTACCATTAACATAAAAAGAACCTGTATAATTAGTATCTGAAGTGACTTTAACTATTCCTACGGTTTTCGCAGGTATCGTGACTTTATCGTTCGAAAATAAACAAAGCTTTTGATTAGGATATCGCTTAAAAATCAAGCCAAAGGGTGTTTTAGTAATAGTGATTCCCGGTTTTTCGGTAAATGAGTGGCCTACTAATATGGCATAACTAATTACATGATCTGCAACAATAAAAACCTCTACGGTTTCAATAATATTTTGAATTTTAATTTTTACTATAGTTGATCCTATTGGTAGAACTAAGTTATTGCCTAATCCTCTCAAATTAGGTAAGTTACTTTCTTTCCATTTTAAGTTTAGTTTTAGTGCAACGTTAAGGCGTAACAAAGTACATTGACTACCTAAATCTATATAACCTTGCATAGTTACACCATTAATTTCTACATCCAAAATAAATTTCTGATTTGTATCTGAATCATTATTTACTTTCAATACAGTTTTATCCGTTTTTTCATTACTTGTTGACGGTAACTTCGGACATGTTGCCGCCAAGTGACCTATTCTATTACATATTGTACATCGCAAAATACGTTTTGTGCATCTATAGCTATAGTGACCAGGTTCATTACAATTGTAACAGATAATCTGTGCGTTATCATTTTGAGAACGTATTGGTTTGTTATTATTATTAGAGCTAATGTTATTATTTATAGTGTTTTGATTGTTTCTCTTTTCAAATGAAATTTTACTTCTATCTGTATCCCGTAACTGTTGCTTAATAGATTTAAAATATTTTAATACTTGTTCAGGTTCAGTAAAACTAGCAGCCTTTGCACCTAACCTGATTGACCTATCATCTAACCCATATAACAAACAATCTACCGCACGTTTATGGAAAATTTCAAGGCGATTTAATAATTTTATTTTAGCGTAATAATAGTGTTCTAATGAATCACCTATTTTAGCTTTTACTGATAACATTTCTGTAAGCAATTCTGCATAGTCATCTCTACTAGGAAAAGATTCTAATAATTTATCTTTCCACTCAGTCCAACTAAATAATAAGGAGGGTAATCCCTCGTACCATGACTTGGCTAACCCAGCTAATTTTGGCAAAGCATAATGAATAATTTGCCTATCCGACCAACCATATATCTGTGAACACTCCTCTACTTTACTAATCCACATATGCACTGTTTGATCTTTCGACATTGGGTCGAATTCGGGTATAACATTGCCTAGGACTGGAAATTTGTCGGTTCGACTTTGACTATTGTTCATTGTTTGTAACATTTCCCGAATGAGTAAATGAGTATCATACAAACTATTATCAACAGAAGTACGTACCCTCTTTCTCTGGTCCTGTTGACTATCCACTTCAGTATTCTGTCGTCGTCTTCGAGATCGAATCCGCGAGGCTGCTGAACTTCGGCTGCCACTGCTGCTGTGTCGACGTCTTCTTGCTTTTCGCCTCTTGGAACGGCTTCCAGAAATTCGTCGTTTACGCATGTCAGCTCGCGTATTACTCCGACAACTTGAACTGCTTGAACTGCTACTACGTTCACGTCGTCGTGGATGCCGCGCCTGACTTCTATGAATTCCACGAGCATCTTCACATTGTAATCGAGTCACGTCGTTCGTTTGCTTGTCCCTCGGTAATGTAGGTGTACCACTTTCACGCCTTACAGTTTCACTATGATGAGGACTTTTTGATGTACTCATATTCATATCGATGTAAAATGTCGTTAGCCGATATGTGTTGTAGAATTAACACCGTACATCCCACTTCTGAGATGACGGGATGGCCAATAAAACGTCGTTATTCTCGTAATTAATGTATATATTGTACTGCTTTCCACCAAATATGAAGCAAGACTAAACTAAATATTCTAACAAAGTTCATAACGAAAAGTAGGGTTGACCTACTTTTTTAAAATATTGACAAGTGTCAACTGACATTCAGAAAATACATTTTATAAACACAGAGTATAAATTCGGTATATAAATTAGTAATCCTAACATATTTAGGTACAAATAATAAAAGAAAAAGAAGTAATCTTTATGATAAGAACCACACACTTAAGTGTCAGAAACCTTAAACCAAGCTTATTAATTAGTACATTATAACATCATGGCCAGGTTTTAACTCTAACATAACGGGTCAGGGTATGGACATAATTTAATAAAATGACATACAGTTTACAATGTAGATATTTTAGTTTATATTTATCTTGCGTAGGAAGCATAAGATGATTCTGTGAATAACTCATTACATAACGGTATACAAATGCTATATTTATTGACTATTTACGGTAACCTTGGTACAATTGACCATAAAATTAAGTGTTATATTGTAATAAAAAACTTACTATTAATTAAAATTATCAGTATTAAAGTCATGTTGGCTTAATATGATTTAAAAAAACATCGATTTACATATATTTTTTCAGTTGTTAATGACAAGGTTGTTAAAGGCTTTATCTGCAGTAGTTTTTTTTTAATACTACTTTTAACAGCTATACTACCTATACTTTAAAACATCAGGCTATTTTAGATTCTCAACAAATATCACTTGAATGAATGTTTGAAGTTTATTTTCAGCATTTTTCGTTAATATTTTCAAAAAATGAAGATGAAAAGCTTCTCAAAGGATAAAATAAGGAAATTTACTTTGAAATTGTGAAATGTATTTAAAAGGCTACTAACTATTAATCTGGTTCTATATAAAGGTAGAAGCCGCAACGGTTCCACACGTGATGTCCAAAGTTCTAAGCCGTGCCGATTAGTTACAGATTAACGCTGACCGAGTTTTATAATTAATGTAGGTTAATAGTTCTATGACCTGTTTTTAGCTGAAAAGATACATAATTTTGTGAAATAGCAATTCAAATTGTTACGAGAGTGATTTAAACTTTACGATTGCAGTTTATGATCGACGTAACCGCGTGTATGTACTCGTACATACATACGAGTACATTGGTTCCGGCTTCAAATATGATTTGTAATTTAATTTAGAATGTATAATTAGACGCAATTGTTACTTAAACGAATGTTTTAAATTCTTTAGTAAATTGTGGAAGGGTTTTTAAATAAAACTATCTTTTCGGATTATTTCGCGGATTTATTTTGATTTTTGGTTCCCGACGTTTCGAATGCTTTACAGCATCCATGGTCACGGGAGAGACTGAGGTGTTACATGTCTTAAAGATATAGTTGTTACAGACAGCCTACCCACAATTAACAAAATGAAAATTGCACCAATTACATTACAGTATTTACTTTAAACATTTTTATATAAAAATTTTACACGTTGTAAATGAATTTTGGTCGTTTTATTGAATCATTAAAATTATGGGGATTTGGGAGAGCTAGATCATGGGCAAACAAAAATTAATTGGAAATTTTATTTATAAAATCGAATTACCAGTACTTGAGAGTGCAATAAACATGATGTTTTATATACATTTATGTATATCTAGACGGTCTTTTCAACGTGTGAATTTTTTTTTACCGAATGGAGTCGAAAATTATTAAATTTTACCTTATTTTATTAAAATGAAATTGCCGCCACTTCTCCCATCGTACATATGATTGCAATCAATAGCATGCGCAATGCACCACTGCGCATGTTTCTCTACAATTCTGAATATTCCGCACTACTTTGAACTCTACATTGGTAAAATAGAGCATATTATGGAATAATTTTAACAGTTATCCCAGATGACAGGTCTACAGTGTGTTAGGGACGGTACAGTATGGATGAGATACGTACGGCGAAGAGGAAATAATAATATATAAGTGAAATTTAACATAAATTGCTCAATAAAACATCATACTCTACGTTGTGTTAGCTCTAACTATCCAGTGTGTGACAATGTTAATTCAAATTACTTACATCGTGGTGATCAGACAAGTGCTACCTCATTTCTTTAAAAAGTGATTAATATTTTGTTTTTTTTTTATTATTTATTTACTTTATATTTTTATGTACCTATATATTATTTGTGTACCTATATTTTTTAACGGATTTATGTAATCGTGGTTGGAAATCCTAGGCACGAAAGGGTGCTTCGTTGATTTTAAAGTCGTTTGCGTTTACTACACGATTAAAAAAATTATTGAAATTATAATTGCAAATATAAAATATTGTTAAAGTGTAAATAGCGGTCATGTTGCAAACTTTCAGTTCGTACTAGTTTAAATGATCCACGGCCGCGATATGCTTTAAGTCAAGTATATAGAGTAACAAGGGATTAGAAATAAAATAAATAAGCATTCAAAAGTCATCTAATTCCGCTACAGCTGTCAACCTCTATACATTACGTTATGTGTATAACTATATATTCGTGTACAATTTAAATAGTGCAAATACGCAAGTGTTAAAAACATTAAATAAAATAAATCAATTGTATTAATTGAATTAAAAATTCCATTTAACTTGAAATACATATTAATTGATATAATGAGAGCAGGGTGTTTCTTTCCGCCTTTAATGAAGAATTACATTTTATTATTTAACTCGAATTATGTCAAATTTGAAACATATATATATTTATTTGATATTAGCACATTAAATATGCTATTAAAATAATAAAAAAATCGCTAAAAATTCCATATTAATGCTTTTTTGTGTTCAAAATAGTCTGTTACCTTGATAAAATATAAAAAAATGATATTGAAAAAAAAAACGTCGCTTACGTCTCTCGTGTTGTTTATAACCACTAAGTATACAGAAGCAGGGTAACTAAATAATAGCAGGGTCAAACTTGTATAATATCTTGTGTATTTGTGTAATTAAGTTGTATATTTTGTGTTTGAGATGTAGAAATCAAATTTAAATACAGTTTTTTAATTTTTTTTGTCCTCTTCTCACAATTTAATAGCGCATCACTTAGAAACTGTTTAGATTTCAATATTACATTTTACTTTATAGGTAAAAGTTTGAATTAAAAATATTATTAAATTTCATCGCAATCAACGAAGTACATTTAAAAACATTTTTAGATCCGTTTTTTTTACAATAAAATACGTGGGTTAAATTTAAAATAGTATGGCTTTACGTTTTCCATGGAAGAGATCTATATCAACGTAAATAGAGCTGTTACAAAAGCACTGTGTCTTTAGGAGCAGTGATAAGATTAAAATAGAAGCTATCTTCCCATAATCCAATCAACTTGTAAGTCATCGTAATATTGTAATGTTAAGTATTTTCTCCCCTAGGTTGCTTCTGTCATACATTTATCGACTTGCAGTGCTACACACACTATATCTCAGCTAGTAGGAAATTCTTATATGTTTATTTTTTATTACTTTAATTTTATATTTATAATAATTATTTTTTTACAGAAAAATAATTATTAATTAGTCCTTTTAATTTAATTTAGTGCTATGGTGACGGATTCATGTAGTGTTGGTTCGTTGCGATGAACTAAAGTTACTCAAAAAAAAAGATTTGTGATATAAGTGTACATAAAATACCAAGTCATTAGTCGCTTGAAGAGAATTTTCCGGTGAGTTATTAAATGAATTTACAAATTTTATTTGAAATATTTAACAATATATACTTAATTGTACCAATTAAAAGACAATAAATAACTGTAGTCAACTTTTCATTATTTAGAATATTTAAGTACTCGTAAATTTTATATAGAAATGAGTAATAGTTGTTATATTTTATTTATGAACATCAAAATGTTTTACCATCGTAGGTAAATTATATAAAGGCTTTAAGATCAGCTTTGCCTTATTTCTAGGTGATCGGCATGGCGTGTGCCGAGTTCATAGCTCACCTAGGTCCCAACATTTAGTTCCCGCTTGCAGCTTTTTGAGAGCTTATAATGCCAAGGTATAATGCATGTGCACGTTATTCATTAAAATTATTCATATAAGGTGTGTGTGCTTTTGTAAAGCTTTATTTTCGATATATATTATCTACTTACTTGAATTTAAAATGTAGGAAATTGTTTAAGCTGTATGCTATTTTTATTTATTAACAATATTTCCAGAATTTTATCTTTTTAAATTTAATTTTTTTAATCTTAAAAATTAGCATTTCACTATTTAATCTTAACAAGAAACTCTTTAAAATCCGACGTTCGTCAACTTTTCTCTACATTTTCAGAGCTTTTGTCTGCTTCGACTACACTATTCTTTCTATGTAAATTAATTAAAAACTTGGCTTTTTTTAAAGTAACTAAAAGTTTAAGATATAAATTAAAATATCTATGTAAATTAGCAAATATTTCTAAAATATTATTACGCTTTCTTCTGAGGCTTTTAAGTCGGTTAATAATGACGTGTATGTATTTATTTTTCACTCGAGTGTCCATTGGCCTAACTCATTGTCTTCTCGAGCACGATATTATCGAGTGCTGTTGTTGACAATCGACACTTAAACTTGCTTATCAATGGATTTACCACCATTTTTGAATATTCCATAAATTCTGCAATTTAATAAGCTTTTATTTCGATTCTCTATACTTCTTTCGCTATATTTCTCTATCTATTTTTTGTATGCCAAATGAACTCAGATTAATAATCATATATTTTATAACTAAAAAGATTACTGGACACAACCGTAAGTACAATTCATATTATAGTATTCAAAAAATGTACTGAGATTAGGTACAATTATGGGTATTTATACTGTCAAAGTAAGTGGTGTACTATTTCTGCATATATTATATTATACGGACACTCATCTAAATTAAATCTTTTATACCTACCTATTTAAAATCGTGTTGGTTTTAGGAGTGAACATTTATATTAATTAAACCTACAATTGTACATATGTTCTCAATAACTTTGTCTTGAATTGAGATTAATATGCCAAAAGTCGCGGGTTCGATTCTTGCATGAAACGAAAGTGGTCGTTAAAGATGTTAAATTATCTGTAGTTAAGAAAAAGCGGTTTTGGAAATCTAATTCACTGGCTGAACCTGAGAACGAAGTATTTCCACTCTAAGGGGTAAAATTTTTGCTTCAAATTTGTTTAATATCTATCAACTTCGAAGTACAGTCGTCATACATAAATGAAACAATTTTTGTCTCGGAGATACTCTCCCGTGACCATGTTTGCTGTAAAGGATTTTAAAACGTCGGGAACTAAAAAGAAAAATAAAACCGCAAAAAATTCAAAAAAATAATTTTATTTAAAATATCAAATATTTGCGTATAGTATTTTTCGCTTCCATACGTTGTCAGGAAAATATCTCGTGTAGAAATACGAGAAGGTCCACCCTTACCCCCATTAACGTCTGTAATGTTTATAGAGCTTTTTTTTACTAAATGTTCAATAATGAACATACAGTATATCACTTTCTTAGATTTACGCGAATATTTGACATTCTAAATAAAACTATCCATACAACGGGACTCTCTCCTGTGACTACGATTCCAAAAATATATGAACCAAAAAACAAAATAAATCCAACAATATATTATCTTATTTAAAATATATTTATATAAAGAGAGAAATTTAATATATTATAATATGTGATAGGTCGGCGGGTGGATCTAGCAACGCGGCCGCGCTAGAGGAGGCGAGTGACGGCAGCGACGCGGAACGCTCGCGTCGACACTTGCGCGTGCCCACCCCCACATACTTGGGACAGTGAGTATCTTTTATTATTGTTATTATTAAGTATAAGCATTTGTCCACGTTTCTACTCGAATTTTAAAAATAGTGAATTTTCATACAATATTCCAACCTTTTTTCCTCTTTAGGGGTTGATATCTCCTTATGGAATCTATATGATAAGTTTAGAGCTTATTTAATTTCAGAGATTTTGAAATAGACTACTACGTATCTGAAACACTATGACTTTCTCGAAATATTCTTGGCTTTTGTCTGCATTAATATGCATTTTAATAAATGTTTCATCTCGTTACTACTTGAAAGAAAAACAAATTTTATATTATATTTTAATTTTAAAAAGATAATTTTCATTCTGGCGATATAATAGTATCTACCTGTGAACTGACTTATCGGTCTAAGGGTTTTTCAGTCGGTGAGTTCTACAGCTGGTATGTGTAAATGCAATTCTCAACGTTAAAAATAAGGAAAAATAAGACTAAAAGGTACACCGACTTCAAAATTGCTTAAAAGAAATTCCACCCCAGGCATGTGATTTTTTATGAAAATTCAGAACCAACCTTGAGGTACACCATTTCTATCATCACTAAAATACAATCGTTTTGAGACCACTTTGATATTGGTCAAGAAATATATGCTGTTTTATATCCCGGGACATCAAGTGTTAACAAAACTTACATACACATGCTTACATAAACTACGAGTATCTGTATGCAAAGAATCATTTCAATCTGGTGCAATCTGGTGCCGCATGTAAGAAAGACATACTAGCAAACAAACACAATTTCCCATTTCTAATATTATAAATAAATTAACGATCTCTAAAGCAGATTCAGTATTTATATTATTCGAACATTTCAATTATCCGTCACGATTCGATTTAAGTTCATCGATTGTTGCTATTTATACAAAGCCGTCTTTATATAATAAGGAAAAACGTATATTATTTATATTTCTACAAATAGGTATCTGTATAAGTATATTTTAGTGAAAACAATAAGAATTATAAAATATTCATAAAAAATATAAATAAATAATTAAAAGTATAAGGTTTTTAAAGAGCAAGGCAAAAAGTTCATAAAAATACTTACACATGTTAGGTATGTTATCTAAACCTACATAAAATAAAATTGTAACTAAGCCGAATCTGTACATTAAATATTTTTTGAAAAATCTTATTGATATAAACATTATTATCGATACAGAGACCGAATCTATAGTTTTTAGAATTTTTGTCTGTCTGTCTGTTACCGCACCACAGAAAAACCACTGGAGAGATTTTAATGAAATTTGGAATGGTGATAGCGGGTTATCCGGGTTAACATATTAGATACTTTTTACCGCGGGAAAATTTCTTATTTCTGAGAAAAAATGCAAAAACTGCAATGTCAGAGTATACTAATCTGTAAAACCTAAGAATTTGGGTTTTGGTCATCTGAACGCGAGCGGAGCCGCGGGAAATGCTAGTTATTTAAATAAGAATGTAGTGTCCCACTACAGTGCAAAGGCCTCTCTACTTTTCTTCCACTGCTCCTTATGTTTCGCTATAATAAACCAGTCTCTCTGTGAGGAGTCCAATTCATCCCGCCATCTCCAACTGGGCCTACCGCGTCTGCTGTCTTGGGGGATGCAAAAAGTTGTTTGTTTGCCCCAAAGATCATCTAGCATCCGGATGACGTGACCAACCCAGTCACATTTCAGCTTTTATTTAATTTATGCACATTCATTCCATAGTAGGTAATAAATATTCATTTTAATAAGTAATAATTATTATCAAATTATTAATAATAAATATAGATTGTTATACATAATAATTATTATAAAAATATAAATATAATATTTTTTTTAAATTATAAATAATAAATTACTTCCGCGATACACAAACACTTCCGCGATACACTAACACTTCTGCTAAGTACATTCATTTTTCCAATGTATTAACTTACTTACCCCTCAGTTACGTATAAAGAAGTTTTACTTCAATAAACTTATAAGAACAAAATACACAATAAAAAATGAAACTCAGTTTTATTGTAGACTTTACTCTCATATTCTTCTTTAAAACCATTCAGTATTGATTTTCGTATAAAAGAATTGTAAGGCTTCTCACCAACAAGTTTCAGGGTGATTTCAGATAAATAACGAGGTGCACCAACGCGTTGGGGTAAACTGCATTCGACTTTAATGAACATTTAAGGCGTAGATAAATAATTCAGGGATCCAACTAGAGAAATGCTTTAATTCTTTTAAACATTACATGTAAAAATTAATTAAAGTGTTTAAAATATTGTGCATTTTATATAGGACGATTGGATATACTTATATAGGTTTATAGCACTAGTTCGAATATTATATATATTTTTCTGATCTAATTTCTCTTATATATTTTTTTATTTAGATATGTATTTTGTTAGAAATACAGAACACCTCATTGTATCTGTTAAGCAATCTAATTGTATCATGTAGTTTTTATGAAAAAATCAAATTAAATTAAATGACGTCGAATATCTTTCAAAAAAGTAATATTAATATATGAAAAAGAGACTCGTCCGCGACCATGATTGCTGTAAAGTCTTCAAAACGTCGGGCAGCTAAAATCAAAATAAATCCTCGAAAACATCCGAAAAGATAGTTTTATTTAAAATGTCAAATACATCTCTAATATATAAAATTTCCATGTCACAATGTTTGTTACCGTACTCCTCCGAAACGGCTTTACCGATTTTTACCAAATTTTATATGCGTATTCAGTAGGTCTGAGAATCGGTTACTATCTATTTTCCATACCCCTAAGTGATAAAGATAAGGGTGGTCCTCCCAGACCCCACCCCAGGGACGAACCCGAGCGGAGCGAGGGTGAGTCGCTAGTATAGGTATATACGCGTAAATGTAAGAAAGTGGGTATTAATATTAATGAAATTTAAAGCCCTTTAATTTTTTTACATCCAAATCAACCTTTAATTTAGTATTAAATTCCAATTACTTAGTATTAAGTTTCCATTTCTCTCTGCATGCTAAATGACAATTTACATTTTACTTTACAATAATTCATGTGTCTTCTCCATTCCACGTGACATCGGGGAAGCAATCTGTCCTGAACTGGCACGCTTTGACAAGAGAATTGAATTATTCTTGAACATTAAACGAGTATAATATTGATTACAGATATTCCAATCTTTTCAAATCCAAGTTTTCAAATCCAATCCAAGTTTTATGCAAAGTTTACGTAGTATACATACGTATACGGTATACGTAGTTGATTTAATTCAAATATTTAGATCTTAGCGGGACTCTACATTGGATAATGTTTTAAAAAAGTTTAGCTTTTTTCGCTACAATGGACTTCCTTGCAGAAATGAATTTCAAATATATTCATCTATACTATAATAACACTGTAAAGGTCGAATGTCTGTACATAGAAAAAAATGCTAAAAACCGAGTCAGAAAGAAGAGAAATAGAACAAATCTAGATTTTTTTCAAATTTTTTGTTTCTCTGTCTGTTTGTACGGGCTAATCTCCGAATCTATTGAGCCGATTTAAATGAAATTTTGCATTGTGGTACCTTATATCCCCGGTCAATATCTTAAATACTTTTCATCAAGGAAAATTAAAGAGGTCCCGTGGGATAGGTAAAAACTATAGTAACTTATACAGCTTAGTACACAACAACTTATGCACCTAATTTAGTAAAATTTGGCATGATTATACCTAATATTACCGGTCAAACGGTAGGTTACTTTTTATCCCGGAAAAAATAACGGTTCCCGTGGGATAGATCTATTTGTGCTTTTCTAGAGGCGCTAGTATAAAATAAAATATATACCGTACCTTTTCAAAATGCTGCATCGTCTTGTGGATGACAAGTTGGCTCGCGTCTCATCCGCAGTGTTACGGTGACTACTTCAATCCTATTGAAAATAATAAATGAAAATACATGGGCGGTTGTTACAATTACTTTGATGAGAACCACAGGTATTACTTTCTTACAATTAGATTAACGTGAAGATTTAACATTTTAAATTCAACTATCTTTCAGACTTTGTTGCGGTTTTACTTGACAATTGACATACACACAGACCTTCTAAATAATTGTTATATGTATGTATTGTAAGGTTGCATTTTTATATATTGAGTGTTTTAATAAAATAATTTGTAATGATTTATGTATAAGGCATTTACTTATGTGACCTTGGCCGATAGGAATGTTTTAAAAAAAAATAAAAGAAGGGCGCGAATATTCCTTTGTTTTCCTGCGCTTTTTGCACAGAGATGTCGGTACCACCATTTAGTGACTAGGCACGAATTGTTTGCAATACTGAAAATTATGATTATAAATTATGTAACGCACTGACGATTATAAAAGTACTGAATATAAGAATATAAGCAAGGAATATCTCGAAGTTTTATTACGGGCTCAACAGTATGTATATATTTAATTAAAACACTTTTAATATTTTAATAATATTGATACACTTTTATTTTGCATACACTTTATACATACTATTAATGAAGTATAAACGGAGTTATGTTAGTACCCACTTCCCACCAACACTGTTTTTTTTTGGATAATTTGCTTAGGACCTAAAATATTAGTAGTTACTACCTAACTATTTTTCATTAACTCCCGACGCAAAAAGAGGGGTGTTATTAGTTTGACGTCAATATCTGTCTGTGTGTGTGTGTCTGTCTGTGGCATCGTAGCTCTCAAACGGAGGAAGCGATTTCGATGCGATTTTTTCATTTGAAAGCCAGTTTCCTTGCGGTGGTTCTTAGCTGTTGATTATCTTTGGTTAATATCGGTCCAGCAGTGTAAGAGTATCAGCTCTTTTCCAAAATAATGTAAGGCATTTTGGCGTATGATTACATGATTGACTGCTCCACGCATGCCAGTGTAATCGTTAAATGACAGTTAATTTGCGTAGGGGGTTTTTTAAATTTATAATTTATTTTTAATTCAGTATCTACTATCTTCTCTTATGTCAATTAACAATTAGATCTATTTCTTTTATGTGCTATAT